ATATAATTCAACCATTTGATCTGCTACTGAAATCTCCGTTTTAAAAATGGTTAAATCTAAATTCTTCAAATTCAATTGTTTTTAAATTTACAATTCATAGCTTTAACCTATTATCAACTCACTGGTTTTATTTAGTAGTCAAGATTTATTTAGACATTTAGGGCAATTTAATCTTTTTGAAAATAAAGTTTATTATTTACTAGAAGCAACTTTTAAATTGTTTTGAAACATTCGAAATTTCATCAGTTTAGAAAAATATTTTCTTGTCCCAATTTCTAAATTTTAAGCAAATGTTGCATGTGTTTAATGCCCAGAAATATAAAAAATTAAAACGACAACTTCTGGCCTTCAAAATCTCATTTTTTGGCCGGATTTTGACGAGGCCACGCCCCTTTTTGATCCCCGCGACCGGGTCGCCGGCCAGCCCATCCATTTTATGCACATTTGCTCCCTCCCCGCAGCGTATTTTCCCGTGGTTTCGCGACAACTTTTTGGTTGTGTTTTCCCACTGCGCACCGTTATTTACGCGTGAATTATGGAAATTATGCAAGTTACGACCGTATTTATAGGGCCGCTGACGACTCGGAGCAGCTCATCGCAACTTTCCTGGGGACCATGATACCGCAGATTTTTGTAAGTTTCATTTTTCGACAAAATTGGTGCTTTCGCCTTATCGGGGGGGAGCCATAATTTTTCAAAAATAAATGAATTAAGCGTATCTACAGTGTTTTTACTAAATTGTAAAGTGTAATTCGAAATTAATGCGATATTTTAAAAAGCGATAGTCTGAAATTGCGATCTTATGAAAAAGCGAGATTTTTACTCGAACCACTATCTGCATTAACGGATCTACTCTCCACTGAAATACCCAAATTTGCGAAACATTTTATTTCTTACAAAATAAAGCTTGCAAAATTTTATGCGCTTACCTGTTTTTACTAGGAGGGGCTATCCCCCCGCTAATGCCAAAGAACCCAGAGAATTGAAAGAATACTTTTAAGTGGCCTACAGCGTCTGAAAGGACTTATTTGAATCAGCCTAGCGCGGGCAATTCCCATAGAAATTCAAGGCATTATTTACTTAGTCATGAAACGCATTATTTTAATAATACGTTTATTATAAAAATGGGTGGTAAAAGAACTTTATTAAAAACGAACATAGCGAAAATACGGTAAAATATCATCATTTATCCTAGAATAAATAACGGCGAGTAAGGAGATGTACATCTAGATAAGAGTTTACTTTACCCCCCACAGCCGAAGGGTCTCAAAGTTTTCGGTATTTTCGCTTATTTTGTCGGGATTTTTGCAACACCATTCGATAGAGCGTCGAAAAATATACTAAAAGTTTTAATTTGAGCCTACAATAATGTAAAATAAAAAGGTTATAGCCAAAACATTTCAGCTGGAGGGTAAAGGCGACCATAGCCTACATCTAATACCTCGAAGCGTTGATTTCCAGAAGCTCTGAAACCTTTTATTTTTACCGTAACCACTATGACATTAAATGCAAGTAATATCGTTCAACATTTATGATACGTTCAAAAACGTGAAACATATTTTTTCAGCTTTGCTTCTTCGTGGCGGCCATCCACGGCGCGGCTACGGTACCGCCAAGCGCCTCTGCTCCAGGTTAGTGCAATGCTACGGTTCGGTATCACTAAAGTGACTTTTTCCACCTAGTAGATTACGGCATAGAATGCTCTTTAGTATCTTTTCTTTTCATTTTATGTATTTGATTATGAGGCCTTTCCGCAGCTGTCACGCTCCCTTTAATCGAGTCCCGAAGCGATCTCTGGCTACCGTATCCCCGCTTTGAACTTTAACTTCCTCCGTAGCCTACGTAACAATCCAATTTGCGGTCACGCTTCTCTAAAAATCACTTTCCCAGTCGTGATAATTGGGCGTTGCTGGGAAAGTCGTCCCTTCTTAGCCGTGTGCCCCCTGATTTTCTGGTAGCAAAAATCTGGGGCCCAATTTTTGATGCCGTTTTATCAAGAAGGCGAAAAAGGGAAAACACTGGGGAAACAAAATGTTTTAAAAATCTTGATGATGAAAAACGGGAAATGCAACATTTGTAAACAATTTTTACTAGGAACCAAGATTTCAAAATTATGGCATAAAAATCCTACTATATATAAAAAAATAGTGTCTGTGTGTGTGTGCCACTTTGCATCCACTTCCGTATCGTTGTTCCAGTAGTATCTCCCTAGGGGAAGAAGTTAGGGGTGGGTGCGATATGTCATTAGGTGCGTAATAGTCTAGGGATGACTGCCCACATACCAGATTTATAAAAATCAACCATTTTCGATATTAAATTTAAGTTTTTGTAAAACCCTCTTCGCTAGGAAAAATTAGCATTGACCGGAAGTAGGAAGTCGCCTATATAAAGGGTCACAAGCGAATCATTTTCATTTTTTATGGTCATCTGAATTCAGCGCAATTATGCAAAGCGTAGAACAGCATGCGGTCCAAGACGGGGCCAGGGTTGAAAAGTCGCGAAGCGGCTTTTTCAACCCTGGTGGTTAATAAAAACCAGTTTTTGAAAAAATGTTTCACCTTTTTAAAAGGGAAAGCTTGTTTTTCTCTTAAACAATTCGATTAAACTTTCCAATTTTACTATTTTTTATTAATAGAGTACCGCAACCCGTTAAAAGTAATAGTAATAGTAACGCGCCTAATTCATTTTATCAAAATAATATTTTTCGCAAAACTTGTGTTTCGGCTTTTTCTTACGAAACACCTGTTTTTCTCGTCCTAATTACTCGTAGGGTTTTCTGTCATTTTTCTCGATAATTTACCGTAAACCGTCGGAAATAGAAATGAATCCAAACTCCGAAAATCTCTAGTTTCAACCCTGGTTTTTACTTGAAAATTTCTGAACCCAATACGGGATCTTAAAAACTGAATTGCAACGAGTACAATACCTTAAGGAATAGCAAGGTCTCTCAATTACGTTCGAGAACCTAAAAGCTAAAAAGACAGAAGATACAATTTCGTAGCAAACGAGTTCAATTTTTTGTTGCTTAAAAATCTAACTAATATTCGTGCTTTTTAAAGGTATAGCGACAGAAAATAGACCTAATCTAACGCCTAACGCAATTAAAATCAAAGTTTTAAGAAAGCTAGAAGCCGTTAAGGTATAGAAAACCTCACTAAGAATATACTAGAGACCGAAATTTCAGATTTCTCTAGGAAAGATCTTGTTTTTCTCCACAATGCCTTTGGCAAACTCGAGATTCAAAAATTCTCCAAAAACTATTTAAAAAGTAAACTACTAAATCTACTCCAAAAGAGTAATTCACGCGTATTACGTAGAAGTAAAAAATAAGTTTGATTAATGTTTAGAAGAATCAGATGAAACATCAAAAATTAAAGAAAGTGTTTCAAAGATTGCTCAGGAAAGATTCGTTTTTGCCACTTCATTTACTCTGACCAATTTACGATTTTAAAATTTTGATGGCTACCGTAATCCGCTACTTCCTGCCCTTTCTCTATCCTTCGTATTTTTCGTATTTTGGTTTCGTTGGTCCCGCGGCGATCTGCAAAGCACCGGTTTTTGGCCAAAATTAGCTGTGGGGGGGCCGGGAGATTAACGGGTACGAACCGCGTGCTCCGCGCGTTTTTTCCCCTACCGTAATTGGGTGCATTGCGGAACGTGTATTTTTGGGGCTGATGGCATGTGGGCTAGAATTATTTTGAGGAAAAATAATTATGATATAAGCACAAACGAAACAAAGCGTTGATGAATTGAGTCTGAAACCGCTGTCAGCTCCACTACATTGGTGGAAACATCATTTTAGCAAAAAAATTTTGATAATTCTTGCCGAGAGCCATAGCCATAATTAATTTGCTACAAGGATAACAACAATAAGCTACATGTAATTTTAATTGACATTAAATAATTGGCAGAGTCTTATTGGATTAATTTGGTCGGGAACATATTTTTTTGGTAAGTCAGCCGAACGGTCTGAAAGTTTTCCGGATTTTTGCTATTTTTGTCGGGATTTTTGCAACGCCACCCGAGAGAGCGTCGAAAAATATAGTAAGATTTTTAATTCGAACCTAGAATGATGTAAAAAAGGCATGGCCAAAACAATCCGGCTGGGGGGGGGAAACTTCAGAAGTGAAAATGTCGATCAATATTAAGTAACCGGTCGCGAACGAATACAGTAATTTTTCCGAAACATCATTTTTGGCAAAGTAATGGCCGTGGAGCAACCCATATCAACGAAGAAACCAAAAATGTTCACAATTTCAAATTTTCGAAAATTCTTCGATATTTTTTTGTAGTTTTCTGGCAATAAGAAACGTTTTAAAACCCTATAAAAATACACTATGTGTTTTTAATATTTAGGCATAGGTAGGAAAATAAAATTACGATATCAACTCGCTATCAACTCAGACCCATATTGGCTTCGCAAAATGAAAAATGCTGATTTATTTCTAGTGGCGCCATCCGGGAAATGCCCGGCCAATTCGACGTTCACCGAGTGCAGCACGATGTGCGAGCCAAAGTGCGGGGCCGAGATCATGATCGTGAGTTGACGGCTACAGCTTTCCGTGAAAAAATATGTTTCAAAATTTAACAAAAATTTAAATTCCTGCAATTATAATATTCCGATGGCCGGTTTGGTTATGTGCCTCCGTTACACATCGCGTCTACGTTAACGTTTATTCCTTGAAACCCACTTCCAAACAGGCTGAAACAATGTTTTTATATTTTTTCGCAAAATTTTTTTTTTGGCCTGGGGGTTTTATTCACTCGGCAAAAAACTGCTTTAAAAATCAACAAAAAACTGTAAGTTAGAAAAATTCTGATTTTTTTTGTTATCTATGCCGACAGGTAGGCTCAAATTAGCCTTGCTTCCTTCAAAATCGCGGCACAAAAACATTGAAACAATAATTTTTTCACCTTTTGGCTGCTCTATAAAATTTCTCGATATAACATTATCATTACTTTTGTTAATTATACAAATTCGATTGCAGGCCTGCATCGAGATGTGCGGCCCGGCGAAATGCCAATGCAACGCCGGCTTCAAGCGGAACACTGACGGTGCCTGTCTGCTGGCCGCCGATTGCCCTGCCGGCACTAATGGTGGGTTGACGCCGGGACACCAACTTTTTCTTCTTAGGATTTAATCTTTCAAAAAGAAATACACGCAGTGTTTCTAGGTTGTTTCTTTATTATTCCGAAACGTGAAAAGGCTGCAAAATTTTACTACAAAAGTCTAAATGAGTTCTCGACCAAAAATGACCGATTTTTGATAAAAATTTTTAAGTTTTAAAAGTTGTTAGATAAAATATAGTTATTGTTACTGAAAACTGTATTGAAATACTTTGTATTAAGTTACCAGACTGTTACAAAAAAAATGTCGGGCTCCGTTCGGTTTCGTTCAAAAAAAAGTTTCGCTAAATTATAAAGTCGGATATTCGAAGCGCGCCTGAATAAAAAGCTTGACGCAAGTGTCTTCCCAAAAAATAATGAAGCCATTTTATTTCACAAAACACCTTAATTTCGTCATGGAAACCCAAAAAATGCTTTTCAAATCGGTTTCCAACATATCCCATTTTCCGGTGCAAATTTCGTTACATCGCAAAATGACGAGAATTGGTATTTATTTGAGTTGTTCATACTTTCAAAGTGATGAAACATATGTTTACCAAAAGCTGTATTTAAATTTTCCATTTCTCTAAACTAGATTCATTAAACTAAATTAAATTAGCATAGACTTACCGCAACGTGAGAACCTTTTTTTAAATTGCATCGAATTCCTTCTATCTTTAAAAGTGCTTATTAAAAGGTGAATGCCCCGAGGGGACGCAATGCGAAACGGTCGATTTGCCTTGCGACGAAGAGCCCTGCCCAACCACTCAAATTTGCCTCGAGATCCCGGGTTACGGTAGCCAACGGCCTGAATTTAGCATGACTTTTATGGTGCAAGGCCTTTTCGTCTTTTTTGCGTGAAATTTGCGTGTTTTAAGAAAGTTTGCCATCGTGTGAAAAATTTGAGTGTTATTGGAGAATTGTGTCTAGCGAAACAATTCATAGACAGGCATTAAATTATAGTAATTATGAAAAATCAAAACTGCTAAATTAAGCAGTCAGCATTGATTTTTAAATGAAAGCTTTAAAAAGCTAGAATTAAATTTTATTACTGGAAAACAACGTGATTTTCTGGTGAGAAAAAACGTGTTTTGCAAAATTCTGACCTTATCTGAGTTTTTTGTCGGATATTACTTTGAGTGAAGCTGGCGTTTACTAATTTGACTTTTTTAATTTTTATAGATCGACTAATTTGTAAAAAATCTTAATGAAATGACCCGATTTCAGGATTGACTTGCGGCAAGAACGAGCAGGTCGACCAATGCGGAGCCGCTTGTGAGCCGCAATGCGGCCAAACCGAGCCCATGGTAGGAGAATCAAAGCTGGATTCTGATCCGATTTTAACGTTACAAGTTATATATAGGCAACAGATTTATTTAACTGCATAATCTAACAAGAAAAAGAATTCGAGGTTGCGGATATCAAAGGCATTTTGTTGCAAATTCAGTGTTTCAAAGAAATTGGCATTGTAAGGCTTTGTAATTAGCGCAATGGTGTGCGTAATGTACCTCGAATAAAATGGGATTTTCGGCAATTTAAGGTTATCACGGGTGATAACTAAATGCCTACTGTTTAAATAAAATAGAGCAACTGTTTCTAAGCTGTTTTGTTACTCACCTAAACATGAAAAATTTACAATTTAAAAAAAAATACAAAACTGATAATTTTTAAACCAAAAATGCTGTTTTGTAACGAAATTTTTAATTTTTGATGGTTTTAGTTATCTTAATCTTAATGAAAGCCTTAAAATCATAAAAGTTTAATAAAAAATTAAGACAACTTTGAAAAGAAATCGATACAGAAATCAATGTTTCTAAGTAACATCGCCAAAGATGAAAATTTAAAGCCACAATGCTGGCGAAATTCTGTCCAAACCAAACGCAACTCATTCAAAAAAGGCCCTGTGTAAGTTTTGGCTTTCCACGCTCTTGCTATATTGTGCTAAATCCCATTTTTCGTTATTAATGTTGATTTATCGTTTTACAAAATAATGAAACAACAATAATAACAAAATTAAGAAAAATAATCGCGCAAAAATTTATTTTCATATCAAAAATGATCTATTTGTTGACAGGGAATTAGTATAATTATTGTACCGCTACTCCAATCTAAGCGAATCACTAATTTTTAAAAGATTGTTGGTCAGATTGTCGAAGGTTAGATTTCATCGGTTCCCCTGGAAAAATTGCTCTGTACAAAAACTTTTAGGTATAAGCGGAAAATGAAATATATAATTACATTCGTGCAAAAATTAATAAAAAAATGGCAAACGAAACGGAAAAACGGAAAGTGAGGCCTATTTTAAATCCTATAATAGTATCTGGACATACCGCGCTCTTTGATATACCGCGCAATCGGATTGTTATAATGAATCGCCTGATGCGAAAAATTGAAGGGTCAGAAAGCTAGTAAATTTCAAGAAAAATTGCTACATAAAATTTTTCCGAACAAGCCTCCATTTTCCAGATGTGCCCGGCCATTTGCTTGCCACCAGCCTGCCGCTGTAAGGCCGGATTCTTCCGTAGCGCCGATGGGAGCTGCGTGGCCCAGGCTGGCTGCCCGGCCAATGGTACGGTAGTTTCGACGCACTATAAAAATTGTTAGAAGTTATATTTGTCGTGGAGTTAAATGTTCCGGAGTTAGGCAACAAACAGGTATTGGATCTATCATCGACGAATTAATGTTGCAAATTCCTGAAAAACATGGTTTTAAAGGGCGAAAAGGCCTGCAAAAGAATGCAGGCATTTTTAGGAGCTTTTGCATTATCGGGTGGGGCGAGCGGCTTTTTTCTAAGGAGCCAACAATTTTTACGCATATAAATTCAGAAAATTATGCTAAAGTGTTTTTCTCATACTTTTTTCCATTAAAAAGCGATTTTTCAAATTTAAATCATAGCTAACATTAACTTTTAATTCATTACAATTTCAAAACAAGTGTTTTAGGTGGTTTTCGACTCGAGATTTCGCTAAAATAATTTGCTAGATATCTTCCGACTTATCGGGAAAAAATTAGACACCCCCCAATGATGCAAAAGAACCGATTTTTTTTTGGCGGGTTTGCCTTAATGCCGTAGCCTTTCGTTAACATGTACAGATGCATCCATGATCCGCTTCAAAATCCAAATCATGATATGAGAAATTTGTGATACACATTTTTTAACGAAAAAATGCTGATAAACGTTTTTGAGTTAACAAACTACAACGTTGTAACCGAGTCAAGGTCGAAAATTAATTCTGCAACTCACGAAACACACTTTAATTGGTCATGCTTAAGAAGGGACTAAAAACGGGTAAGCGGTTAAGATGAAGTTTTTTGTTCTGCATGTTTCACCGGATTTCATGACGGAATCGCTTCCCGAGCCTTGAATTCGAGAAGCTTCTCCGTTGGCTAAATTAACGTTTTAAAAAGCCAATTTTTATTTTTCAGCGACGACCAAGTGCTTGGCAAAATGCAGCGCCGGCCAGAAATGCGTCCTGCAAGAGGTTGGTGCTTTAGAGCTTTTAAGCACGGGTCTGTATTAAAAAGTATGTTTCAACATTAGCATATATTTATCAGAAAATTTTATTAAATAGTATGGTGTAGCGATCCATTGTCTGCAATTAAAATTGTTTTAAAAAGGTTGTTCTTCGAAAAATTATAGAAATCGTCTTCGAATCTCAGGATATATTTTAACAATGTTCTATCGCAAATTTGTTATAAACCAAACCAAATTTAACGATCACAAAAAACATGTATCATGCAAAACCTTGCTGGAAATCGAAAACCCGAAAAACTCCATAATTTTCAGGTCCAATGCGTTCGAGCTCCATGCAACCCAGTGCCAACCTGCGTGCCGGACGACGGTTAGTGAGTTGGATGCTTTAAAGATGGCATGACAGCTGGCTTCTGGGGCGTAAAAACTGCTTTTAAACCGGTTCTTCCTTGAAAACCACTGTGAAAGCAGTGCGGTAGCGTTACGACGCGCTGCTGTCCCGCCCGCTGCGGTCGCGCTAGGGGTCCGATTACGGGTGCGGTGCTCCGTCGCGTGAACGCGTTGCGGTCGCGTTGAGGACGCTTTGCGGAACCGTTTTGGACGCGTTTAGACGCGTTTTTTGGACCAATTATAGCTCACAAATCTAGCTCAATACGAATCCACGTGAATCTCGCCTTTTTAACAATTTGTGAAACACACTTTTTAAGCCTTAGTTTTCCTTTAGAATTATTCGCTTACCTTCATTCGAAACGCTAACTTTTCGTGATTTTATAACGTTACAGACACCCCAAAATGCCTGGCAAGATGCCGAGCCGGGTATCGGTGCGTCCTGCAACAGGTTTAGCACCCGGCAAAAATCGATAATTTTTCGCAAATTAGGTGGTATGCAAGCGAGCCCCGTGCAACCCGGTGCCGACGTGTGTCCCGGAAAATGGTTAGCAATTAGCAAGGAATACTAGATAGCCACTATTAATTTAGAAAAATATAAAGTATAAAAATACAAAGTATAAAAGAAAATCATAGCCTTCATTAAAGGGATACCCAACCTTTTCGGGGCTCAAAAAGCAAAAGCCATGACGCGGGCGGGGGTCGAACCCGGGACCCCCGCTTTCAAGACCTGGATGCTATCCATTAGGCCATAGTGGCAAGCCATTGGTCGAGATGGGGACGCCACAAGAGGGTGAGGAGGCCGAATTCTGTGCGGCACTGGGCATCCATTACCGCACAAAATTCGCGCGTCATTTGTACTCCCCGGAATACATAACTATATATTTGCCGCCAAAACATTGGGTATCCCTTTAAAGGGACTGGCAAGGCTAAACTTCAGAGTTTGTTGGCCGCGGATCTTGATGCTGGACCATTTTCGAAATTTTTGAAATTTTCGGTTTTTTGAAAACGTCATTCGATAAAGCGTCGAAAACTGCCCTAGGAGAATTAATTTCAGCCCGAAATAATGTAATGAAATTTTTTTATCGAATAAACAAAAATTTATCAGAATCCATGGGCAGCACATAGGATAACGGGGGGGGGTGAAATTTTCGGCGTTTTGAATATTTTCGATATTTTGAAAATGCCATTCGATAGAGGACCGAAAAATATACTAAGAGCTTTTTTTACAGCCCGAAAAAAGCTTATTTAAAAATGCTTTTATCATATAAAAACTTTGAGTGCCCCCCCGTTATTTCCCCCCCCCCCCGTTATCCTATGTGTACCGGGGGCTAATTATTAACTTCCGCCAGTTTTTTTAGAATATATAAATCTTTGCGCAGTTGTTACTAAAGGGACATTATTACAAATTAAACGAAAAATTAAAAACTACAAGGCTAAAAATTAAATTTTACTTTTTGCTGTTTTTTGATACGACTTGGACCAAAAGTTTAAAATTGCGAACATTTCTATTCCCGCTTTCCGGAGTGTGTAACATAGGTAATTAATTACGCTATGGAAATGGGACGTATACCCCGTGCCCAAAAAGCTCATATTATGTTTTGATCATTTTTAAGCGGCTCAATTAAACCTGTGAAATTTTCATGGTAGTGGTATTTTGGTGAAACATGTGCTTCATAATCAAAAAAGGTTTAAAATTGGCTTGGATTTTTATAAATAAAAAAGTATAATGTAATATTTTTTCGCTTTCCAGGAGCCACGGGATGCGCGGCCGTCTCGTGCATGGTTGGTCAAAACTGTGTGGTTGGGGCGGATGGGACGGGGCGATGCGTGCAACAGCCAACCGACCGTATGTTTCATTAAAATTATAGCCAACTTGTTGGGAATTGGCTATAATAAGATTAGACAATGAAACAATAAGATTAAACAACAAACCGCTCAAGAAAAATAGGCCATATCCAAAATGGCGTGCGTTTAAGAAGAATTTTACAGTAGCCCGGCTCTTTTCCCTTATCGGGGGGGCGGGTAGGGTAGCAATGGGAGAAGCTAACCTCTTGCTTTTCTATCCAATTTATCTAGTCAAAGGGAAGTGTTTCTACAAAATTTTCATCAAAAAATAAATAATATAGCTTTTTCGAACAAAATTGACCGATTTTCGAGCAGAATTTCGAATTATGAAAATATAAATTATTAAAAAATGTTAGGAAGTTTCTCCCGAAAATATATTTGTTTTATTCAAAACAGGAATAGAAGGTAAAAATCGAAGAATTAAACTTACAGGGTGGTCCAAAAAAAAAAAGTGAAGTTTGCACTGAAATATCTCGCGAACGGAAACGAATCGGACCATCGTTACCTTGCCAGAATGCTTAAATATGCTGGGCATGAAGAAATAACAAAAGTTGTTTTTTAAGATTTTTGACGACCAGTGGGTCGTTAAAAAGTTTTGAACATTTTTGAAAAAGTAGAAAACTTTGAAGCGATAAAGTATGGAACTTTTTACGAGTTAGAGAGACTTCAAGGGTATCAAAATGAAGCTCTTGGAATGCGCTATCAAACTCGTGGTAAAGAATTTCGATCGGTTTAACTAGCCGTCAATAGGAGCGTTCGGAAAATCCGTACTTTTTGGGGAAATAATTCCAGATAAAATTACTTTACCATCCGATCTTTCTGATATTTTGCAATTAGCAATAGATATATAACTACTAACTTTTCGCATCAAAAATTTTCAAATCGCGATCAAAAAATTTTTTGGCACTTTGCCAATTCGACCGAATTTGTAAGTTCTAGGCTCCTTTAGTTAAAATTATAGCATGGTTATCTTTGGCAAACAGGATTGCATGTAACAAGTACAAAAAATTTGGGCAGCAAGGTGCTTTTTATGGTCAATTCGGAGGCGCCCATTCCGGAAAAGTACGGATTTTCCGAACGCTCCTATTGACGGCTAGTTAAACCGATCGAAATTCTTTACCACGAGTTTGATAGCGCATTCCAAGAGCTTCATTTTGATACCCTTGAAGTCTCTCTAACTCATAAAAAGTTCCATACTTTATCGCTTCAAAGTTTTCTACTTTTTCAAAAATGTTCAAAACTTTTTAACGACCCACTGGTCGTCAAAAATCTTAAAAAACAACTTGTGTTATTTCTTCATGCCCAGCATATTTAAGCATTCTGGCAAGGTAACGATGGTCCGATTCGTTTCCGTTCGCGAGATATTTCAGTGCAAACTTCACTTTTTTTTTTTGGACCACCCTGTAATTATTATTATGTTAGCAACCATTTCTGGACTCTACGAAAAAAGTGGCCTATCCCCCCGATAATGCAAAAGTGCCACCATGCCGTTTGCAGGAACCTGTGGCCGCAACGAGTTCTTCAACACGTGCACCGGCTGTGAGGCCACCTGCGAGAATCGGCAGCCAATTGTATGTTTCAACTTTGGATCAAGTCCAGTAGCTTTTGGTTTCTCCAACTTACTTCTGTCGCCGCTTTTTTTGAAACTAACTAATTAATGGAGCTAAAATCCCGAAAAAAATTTGCAGGCAGAAGTAAAATTTCCCATTCCTGAAAAATCGTAGAAATCAGCTTTTTTAACCACCATTGATACAAACAATTGGCTGGTTATAGAATTTTTGAAACCTCAACTTTCCCAAACAACCTCAATTTTTATTTTCAGTTTCTTCAGCTCTTGTCCTTCTTTTGGCGTATGTGTTTTATTTATGAGTATTGCTAGTGATTTAATGAATTTGTTAATGCGGAAATTCATAATGTCGAAATCCATTCTTGTGGAAAATTGATAATTTCTAATCTCGAAAATTTTCTAATCCAAAAATATATATTAATGAATTAACTAATTATATATATTTAAAATTATATATGAATTATATTTAAAATATATTTATCAATTTCCAGTGCAACAAGATGTGTGTTCAGCCGGGGATGTGCCGTTGCAGCCAAGGGTTCTTCCGCGGAAATGACGGCTTTTGTATCACGGCGGAACAGTGCGATTTGCAAGGTCAGCTTTTATTCGAGTTTTCAATAATATGATATTCATAAATATATAAAACTGCTATAAATAAAAAATATATATTGCGGTATTTGAAAGATTTAATAAAATCTGGTTGAGACTGGGTTTAGCCCGCCGAGATTTAGCATTTTCGAAGCCAAAACATTTTTTTGTCACTGACGCTGGGTAATTTATCAACGTTTTCTTTAAAAATGGGTTAAAAGTATCAATATTGTATATTTAATGGACGAAAGTAACGCTCGATTGGATCGCTCGATCTCAGTAATGTCCATGTAATTTTATGCATTTTTTTATGGTTATTTGAAACATGATTTTTTTTTTTTTGAAAAATGGCAGTGAAATTTTTTTAAGAGCCTCTAAAGGACTCCTTAAGGTATTTCCGCTTTTTCAGGCGCTTCCTCAGCCCCTACTCTCAGCTGCGCCACTGTTCTCTGCCACCCTGACTCGCCGAGATGCGTCGAAACGCCCAGCGGACCGCAATGCGTAGCACCCAACGATACTTCGGCCACTTCTGCTACTCCCGGTAAGTGGGGAAAATTCAGAATAAATCAATCGCTATCAAAAATTCTGAAATCTTATTGTATTACTCCAAATTATGGTTATTCTTGGGAAAAGCTAACTAACGATCAGACAAAAAAAACGACTTAACGAAAAACGACGACGACGACCTTTTTTAGGGGTGAATTAAATTGTTTTTTAATTTTTTCTTGACTCGCTCCCTCTCTCACTTTCTCGTTCTCGCTCTCTCTCACCCTCTCTCGCTCTCTCTCTCTCTTTCTCTCCCTTTCTCTTTCTCTCGCTCTCTCTCTATCGCTCTCTTTCTCTCGCTCTGTCTCTCTTGCTATCTCTCGCTATCTCTCTCTATCGTTCTCTATCGCTCTCTCTCGCTATCTCTCTCGCTCCCTCTCTCTCTCACGCGCACTCTCAGCTCTCTCCGCAATTTTGAAAATCTAAGCTTCAGAAAAAAGGATTAAAATTGAGTCTATTTTTCAATTTCCCAACGTTAACTAAAATTATATAAATCCTTACATTTATAGACAGAAAAATTTCATACGGGATCAAATAATTCGACTAGATTCAGCCAACCAGCAATGCGGCAAAAACGAGTTCTTCAACGGCTGTGGCGGATGCGAGGATAAGTGCGGACAAACTGGGCCTGTTGTAGGTTTTTGCAGTATTTGGTGCTGAAGCAATGTAATATCTGGCAAATGGCGAGCTATCTTAAAACCATGAAACATCTTATCAAAAAAAAAATAAAAAAGGTCCGAAATCGAAGCCTCGGACTAAGCCAGGCCTAAGCCAATCCTAAGCCAAACCTAAGCCAAACCTAAGCGAATCCTAAACCTAACCTAAGCTAAGCCTAAGCCAGGCCTAAGCCAAGCCTAAGCCAAGCCTAAGCCAAGCCTAAGCCAAGCCTAAGCCAAGCCTAAGCCAAGCGACTAAGCCAAGCGCCTAAGCCAAGCGCCTAAGCCAAGCGCCTAAGCCAAGCGCCTAAGCCAAGCGACTAAGCCACGCCTAAGCCAAGATTAAGCTTCAGTCGACCTTTCTAGGCCTGCCCGATGATTTGCCGTCTTGAAGGGGCTTGCCGTTGCCAATCCGGCTTCTTCCGCGACCCGAACACTAATGAATGCGTCACCAAGGACCAATGCTCCGGTAGGCCGCTTTAAAAAGGATGTTTCAAGCAGCTAATCGGTCTTTTAAAAAATTGCGGCTTGATAATCACTGCATTTTCTCCGATTTACATCAAAAGTGTAATAATGCAATAAGCACTTGAAATTAAAAAGCTTTTTTTATATTTCCGAATTCTGTTGATTTCTGGCGTTTTCCAAACGGTTAAAAATAGGATACAATAAAATGTTTCAACGTCATGGCCGACATATCGATTTTGAGTTGCTGTAATTTTTTTTTATACTAAAACCAGGGTTGAAAAGCCGCTTCGCGACTTTTCAACCCTGGCCCCGTCCAACCCTATCAGATTCTTCACTCTGCATACGCCTTCGATTTTCGATGAGAAAAATGAAAAAATGCCACTCTCTCGGGTTATATATAGGCAGCCGCAACTTCCGGCGTATGCTAATTATTTCCTAACAAAGAAGGCCGCCCGATTTTTCAACAAAAACTTAAATTTAATGTCGGAAACAGCTGAATTTGTAAAAACTGATATTGGTGCAGTCATCTCCAGACCATTACGCATCTAATGACGTATCAAACATACCTTAAAAACCTTCCCTTTCCGAGATATCCTCCGGACAGAATGACGGAAGTTGCATGCAAAGTGGCACGGACACACACACAGACACTATTTTTTTATATATAGTAGGACTTGACAAAAATTATTACGAAACTAAGGGGGACCAAGTTAGTTGCTATAACTATTTTAAATGTTAATGGAGTTTTGTATATTTGCACACCAACCATATTTGCAAATGTTTTCTTTAAAAAAAATGTTTTACCGTAACCACTAGTGAATTAATTTCATGCCAGCGTAATTTAGGTTCTTGCTGACTTTTTTGATCAACAGAGTATCGAAAAATAAAAGTAAAAATAAAAATAAATAAGAATATGAATTTGTAGAAATTTATTAAGAAATCGCCTATTCAGTGTGGATTACAAATAGTTTAATGTTTATTGCATCATTTCAAGTTTTCAAATTATGTTTCAATGCAAGTGCTGGCACCGTGTTTCCAAAGTTTTGCAATTTCTTTTGGTCCCAACGGTTTTTAAATTTGGGTTCGCAAAAAAAGGATGAAAATCGAATTCTCTCGGCTTTTAGGTATGACCTTGTTGATTCTGATTTTGACCTACAACAATTAAAAATGATGAATTTTTAGTCTCAAAATGCCGTGCACCTTGTCGCAAGGGGTATAAATGCAAGAATACAAGCTATGGACCGCAATGTGTTCCTGGAAAAAGGGGTATTGCTGGTAGAGAATAGTGACATAATATTAACAGCCAGCTTTACTAATATAACAATTTATTTTAATATTAATATGTAATCTAATTAATAAACCCTTTTAATAATTAGCTAATTGTATAATTGATAATCATAAGATTAAATTTTAATAGGTTCTTTTACGTTACCGGGGGGGGTCCAATTTTTCTCTAAGGAACCAATTTTTCTATTGTGATTTATATACAGAAAATATTTTTCAGCCTTTTTTACTATTCTAAACGTAAGAACTTTGCAAATTTTAGTGAAAAAACTACATGAAATATAGATTTTTCGACCAAAATTTAAATTTTGCTACATTTTTTAGATAATTTTCCATTGAAAGCCAGTTAGTTTTACAAAAAACACTATTAAGACGCTTACTATTACGTGACTAAGCAATTCTGCATGCTATGAAAAAAAATTAAAAATCAGCCCCCCCGATAATGCCATAGAACCAAGCTAACTTGTAACTGAAGTAATAATGGCTTGTTTAAGAATTTAAACAATCTAAAGCTTATAAGAAGAATTAACTCGTTGAGATTTTTAACAAAATTAACATGGTTACGGTGGTGGCGGTGGTACCGAAGCGATCGGATTCACATTAAATTAGCATTTTTTTAGAATCCGACGTCCCACAGGCCAGCTGTGAACTGGTGAATTGCCGTTCCGGAATGGAGTGCGTCATGGCCCAGGTTAGTAGGAAAATGTGACAATTTTCACGGTGTTTCGTCGAAAAAGCATGGTGCCGCGTCCGGTTTTCTTGTAATCGATTGCGGTCAACAGGGCTCAATTTGAGAGTATATCGAAGAAGATAATTTTTGGGGTGCGGGTGCTGAGTCGTTAGCGGGGGGGTGGCCTTTTTAATTTAGGACAAGTGTTGCTTTAATCATAAACTCCTCAGGTTTTTCACAAAATTTCCACCTATTCGTGAAACTAAAAATGCATTTTCTAAGAAACCGACGGAGGCATTACTTTGAAATTTTGTTGACATGTTTCGCGTAAAATGATAGTTTTTTTCAGGAACATTTTTACTAATTCAGGCACCAGCAAGGTTGAAGTTTACCTTCCGTAACCATTCAGTATCCTTCAGAAAATCCAAGAAAAAAATACTAAAAACAGGGTTTGAGGAGAAATATTAAATAACGCTTTCGATGAACCCCCCAGGGTCAAAACTTGACATTTTTGGTGACATGTTTCACCGAAAAAAATACACGTTTGGCGCCAAATTGCCTTATTGCGCGACCGTCTTGCGGGCTGCTAGCCGTGGTATCGCTAGTGTACCTTCCAGAAGATCTCAAAATCGCTTGGAAACAAAACTTTTGAAGAAAAATATTACATTCCGTTTCTAAGAGCCCACCAGAGCCAAAAGTTGGCATTTTTGGTGACATGTTTCAGCGAAAAAATGTATATTTTCGAGCCAAATTTCATTAATGCTCTCGCATCTCACTTCCAGAAAATCTAAAAATCACTAAGGAAAGAACATTTAAAGGAAAATATAAAAATACGCTCTCTAAATACTCAACAGCGACAAAACATTGAATTTTTTGGGTGGTGTGTTTCACCCAAAGACATAGTTTTTGAGCTGGATTGTTTTTTATTTTCGCCACGAATTTGTTTCTAACAATACCGTATGCCGCGAGAATACCAAAAATCAGTTTTACCTCGATTTGGCCCGAAATCCTCAACAAAATCATTTTCAATTGTGGTTTTAGCAAATCTGCCCGGCCGGCCAGAAATGCCTGCAAACGCCTACGTGCATACCGCAAAATAGTGAGTTTCAAAATAACGTTTTCCTTCAAGGACTTGATTTTGTTTATTAGGCGAAACGGCGATTCGGTAAAAATCCATCCAAATTAAAGATGTCAGGATTTCGCAATTTAGATTGATTTTTCGAAATATTGTTTTTTCAATATTTCGGCAGCAACTTGTTTTATAAGCGTTGTAAAAACACGTTTTTCCAGTTTCATCCTGCAAAAATGTCAAATGCACCGCCGGCCACCACTGTGCCATGATCCAGGTGGGATTTGGTAACCTAATTTTACGGTTACCTTGATCGGTTCTTGGGCATTATCGGGGGGAGGGTTCATTTTTCCTATAAACTAATTTTTTAAATATAAATACAGGGTGTCCCAAAAAAACGACCCATCCGGCATTTCGCCGTGTTACATCCAATCGGTCCCAAATTTGGACCAAAGGTGTATCAAACCCTAAATAACCCCAATCCTGACTTTTAGCGCCGTAGCTACAATAGTTCTCGAGTTATATCGAAAATACTGTTTTTCCCGGAATTCTGTACAGTTTTTTCGGCTATCTTTTTGGACTTTGCATCGATTTGCATCGACTTCCGGCTCTGAATCCCTAATTTCGCTTAAGGACCTGGGTAACTTTGAGTTGTAAAAATGGCTTAAATCAAAGCTTATTTAATTAATTTTACTCTGGAAAAAATTTCTTAAGGTAAAGAAGGCCTACCGGATCATTTTTACTTAATGTTTAGGGGGTCTAATTCCACCAAAACCCTATGAAAACTGGAAATTAAAGTTCCTTTTTGTTATAACTTTAAAACTACTGGAGCAATGGGGCTAAAAGTCAGGATTGTTGTTATTTAGGGTATGATACACCTCTGGTCCAAATTTGGGGCCGATTGGATGTAATACGGCGAAATGCCAGATGGGTCGTTTTTTTTGGGACACCCTGTAGAGCACTTGCTTTTAGAGTGATTTTTACGATTCTTAAACGCAAAAACCTATAAAAAATGACAAAAATGAAAACCTATTTTTATAAAATAATGACATGAATTCAAAATACCGATTTTTCGAGCAAATTTTCGAGATTCCCGATTTTGTATTAGATATTTTTTAGGTGAAGGGTAAGAAAATTATGGTAAAAACACTATTAAAATAATTTCTATTACGCCTATCGTAGGAAATAGTAAAAACAACCACCGAACTAAAAACTAACTAACCCACCGATTTATGGTGATCGAACCGATTATAGAGTGTGCAACTGCATCCTAAAATTTTCTGGGATTCCAGAATTATTTGAAACAGTCATTTTTAACGGAAATTCCAGGTTCAATGCTTCGCCCCGCCCTGCTACCCGGTACCGCAATGCGTTTCGGATGTAGCTGAGGCGACGGATGGTACGTTTTTACCCTAAATACGATAACTAGAAACGGGCAAAAAAAAACAAAAAATGAACGGATAACTCTTCAAAAGTTGAATTAACCACAAATAAACTGCGTAGAATTAACAGTATACGTTCTGTGCTCCTAATCCACATGAAAAGAAACAACCGTTTTTAACGGGCCAAACTGGCACGCACGCAACGCGGCTGCCCTCCATTTCATTGCGTAATCGATTACGATGCTTTTTGTACAGTTAACCAGGTGTGCGCGTTGCTTGTTGCGGCGCGGAAAAAGCCCTAGATCCCTATAAAAGCAAATTCTGTAACAAACCCTTGTCTGCCCCTTTAGAACGGAATGTTTCGCGAAAATTAGAAGTTTGAATCAATGAAAAGGAAATTATTCCTCTGTCGGCAGCCATGCGAAACGGAATTTTTAACAAATTGTTTAAAATAGGCTATTGTAGACGCTACATTAAAACCGTGCAGATATTGTTCAAACCCCTTTAGCCCCGCCCTCCGGAATTACATGTGCTAACGTTCGATGCGCAGGCCCGTGCGTTGACACTCCCACCGGACCGCAATGCCAGAGCGAGCAGCCACCACGTAAGTGCTTTGGTTTATTTTAATTTTTTCGAAACAGCATTTCTCGAATGTTTTCGGTGGAAGTCTGTCGAAATTTTACTTTGTCGAAATATCATTTTATCGACATTTCATTTTGTTGAAAGTTCATTTGGGCGCAATTTCAGGCTGCTCAAAATTCATTTTGTGGAAATCTCTCGGTGTCGAGATTTAAATTTGTCGAAGATTCATTCGGGCGAAAATTCATTTTATCAATATTGTTGTATCTCAAAATTAAATTTGGTGGTTTGAAATTTCGCTAATAATAAATTTGGGCAGAACAAAATCTCGACAAAAGGGTTTTCGACATCCTGATTTTTGCCAAATTAAGATACCCATCAATAAATCTGTTAGAGTAACGATATTTCTAGTCGGCCCATGCGCCACCATGAGGTGCCGTGCCGGCTTCAAATGCATTGAGGAGACGGTAAGTTTTCTTAAAAAATTTGGTGATTAAAAAATCAAGATACTAAAAATAGTTCAAAGAACACCCAAAGTCATTATAAGATTATATAGAATCACGGCGATTCTTTGCTAAATATTTGACGAAACATTTTTCCTTTTCCTCGATTTTCGCCTCTTGCGTTCTTTAGAAACTGCGTTGTTAAATTTGAATTCAATGGCCCTAATTCTGAGAATGAAATGCCGCCAAAAAAACTGGTTTTTACGGATCAGAGAGGCTAGGGCTAAGAATTGATTGAATGACCTCGTTTTTACGACTACCATCAAGCGAAACACATTTTTTTTATCCCGGATTTAGACTATGTTTCATTAAAAACAAGAATCAAATTACCTTTAAATTTAACATTTAATCCAATGCGATTCAACATATAAATACCAAAATGCGGCGGTAAAAGTCACGGTATAAACCGCGCCTTTTACTATTATCTTTTAATCGAAACACGTTTTTGAAATAACTTTTATTTAAATTAAAACGATTTGTCATAAGTTGCTGCAATAACTGATCAATTACCATGATTTAGGTGGCCTGTATCATGGCCCCGTGCCCTGGCCAAGGGACCCACGGCCGTTGCGTTGCCGTAGAAAATACTGGTAACAATTAAAAAGCCATAAATAAACATCATTTCTTTGGTTTTGTTGTGTTTGTGCAATAAATGTGTTTTGGTTATTTATTGGGTTATGTGGATTTTGTTGTTTCCTAATGCGCCTTGATTTGTCGTATTTATCATTGTCCAGCACTAGGGTAGAAATGAGGAGCAATTTATGAGGTAAAATTTTACTGTAAAATACAGATATTTTGAAACAAATGGGTTCTAAAAAATTTTAAAATTTAAATTAACATTTTTTCATAGAAAATCTCGAAAAATAGTTAAACTCGAACATTTAATTTAGCCTGGGTTACGGATTTAAAAAGTTTCAGACATTGTCAAACCAACCCACGCATCTAAAAAACTAATGAATTGCGGTTTTATCCATTTCTATCCATTCTTTCCCTTAACCAGTTAATTTTATGTAAAAAATCCTATTTGTCCATGATGGTCAAAAACCCGTATTTTAATTGATTTCGAACATTTTTAGATTGGTTTAATTATTTTTTTAATGAAATACCGGCAAACGCTTCGAATCTAGCCAAAAATAATTTATGTTTTTGGTTTATTTCGGGCCTCTAGATTCTAAATGGTGCTTTTGCATTATCGGGGGCATTTTTAGCGAATTCCAGAAATTTCTATTAACATAATTTAAATAGTTTAGTAACGGTTAGCTGTTATTGAAGTAGAAAACTACCCAAAAAGCTTAAAAATGGCCAAATTTCGGCCAAAAAAAATCGATATATTGTAATTTTTATGAAAAAAATTTTGTAAAGTTTTACGTTTTGCAATTTTTATAAAAAAACTATGCTAAGAAAAAACTTCCCGTAAATACCAAAGCGCCTAAAAAATCGTTATGCGTCTTGGAAAGCACACTGCACCTTTCAGGCGCCTCTTCCGCCCGCCCGTACCGTACCGGGTGATTACCGTCGTTCCACAACGCACCCCTGCACATCCGCAGTCGAAAAAGCACCGTGATTACTGTACTTTCTATTTCCATTACCGAGTACTGTATTTCCTTTCCTACCGTACTTATGTTGCGTACTGTACTTTCTTTCCTTGCACCTAAAACCCCCAAAAACGATATTTGTACAATTCGGGAAAACAAATAAATATTTCATGAAAATTGGTAGTGAAACTCAAGGACTTGTAAGGATTTCTCGTTTCTTTTTAGAGCCACAAATCACGTGCGCGAGCACCGATTGCGCTCCGGGATACACCTGCCATATGGCTGAGGTGAGAGAGTGAGAGAGAGAGAGAGAGAGAGAGAGAGAGAGAGAGAGAGAGCGAGCGAGCGAGCGAGAGAGCGAAGGCAGGCTAGCAGAGATTGTTGAGGAAGAGGAGAGGGCAGGCTAGCAGAGATTGTTGAGGAAGAGGAGAGGGCAGGCTAGCAGAGATTGTTGAGGAAGAGGAGAGGGCAGGCTAGCAGAGATTGTTGAGGAAGAGGAGAGGGCGGGCTAGCAGAGATTGTTGAGGAAGAGGAGAGGGCAGGCTAGCAGAGATTGTTGAGGAAGAGGAGAGGGCAGGCTAGCAGAGATTGTTGAGGAAGAGGAGAGGGCGGGCTAGCAGAGATTGTTGAGGAAGAGGAGAGGGCAGGCTAGCAGAGATTGTTGAGGAAGAGGAGAGGGCAGGCTAGCAGAGATTGTTGAGGAAGAGGAGAGGGCGGGCTAGCAGAGATTGTTGAGGAAGAGGAGAGGGCGGGCTAGCAGAGATTGTTGAGGAAGAGGAGAGGGCGGGCTAGCAGAGATTGTTGAGGAAGAGGAGAGGGCGGGCTAGCAGAGATGGTTCAGAAATGAAAGCAGTGGAAGGATTATTATTCGACGTCTATTGGCAAGCTCGGCCCGTGACTCCCTAGCAATTTTTATGAAACATATTCAGGGGCGTAGCCAGAAAAAAATTTCGGGGGGCCCGAAAAATTTGTTCCGACAACTCAAAAAATTAACGAGAAAAGGCTTTGAAAAAAAGGCTACATAGCTCTACAAATAGCAGTAAAAACGTGTAAAAATAGCGCCGCAGGCAGCAAAATTTTTGAGTAAATAAAAATCATACGGGTCCCCCCTTATGAAATTTTTGGGCCCCGGCCGATTTCCGGGGATTTCCAGGGGGGGGTGACGGCCAGTTCGCCTAAATCCGTTTCGCCTAAACCCGTTTCGCCTAAACCCATATCGCCTAAACCCATATCGCCTAAAATCCGTTTCGCCTAAACCCGTTTCGCCTAAACCCATATCGCCTAAACCCATATCGCCTAAAATCCGTTTCGCCTAAAACCCGTTTCGCCTAAAGCCCATTTCGCCTAAATTATTAACCGTTCGCGCTGCTGCATTTTTTGACCAAAAAAATCACCATTTTTCGAAATACTTGTAAGTGTTTTCGGATTTTCTAAACATAATTTTGCAAATTCCTTGTCAAAAACACGTTATGAAGCCAATTAGATAGCTTTTAATGAAGAATTTCAAGGAATCTCTTTAAATGAAAATGACCAAAATTTAGGCGAAATGGGTTTAGGCGAAACGGGTTTTAGGCGATATGGGCTTTAGGCAAAATGGGATTTAGGAGAAGTGGGCTTTAGGTGAAACGGGTTTTAGGCGAAACGGGTTTTAGGCGATATGGGTTTAGGCAAAACGGGTTTAGGCGAAACGGATTTAGGCGAAGTGACCGGAATTCTTCCAGGGGCCCACCTTACGCTACGTCCCTGAACTTATTTACCCAAAAAATGGAGATATTTAGGTGACATGCGTGATGGCCCCATGCGCACCGCAGCCGCAGTGCGTCCCTGTCAATTCTACCAATAGTGCGTTTTGAAGTCACAAGTTAAAAATTGGAAGTGTGTTTCGTTAAAAAGACATAAGCAATTCGGCAAATTTTACGTAATTGGCAATAGTCGCATCTCAGAAAAATCCCGTTTGCAGTCTGCGACTTCACCGAGGTGTACACGGAGTGCGCCCCGAACTGCGAGGAGACCTGCCATGGCGTGCAGGTAGAATTTTTGTTTAGAAAGCTGAAAGTCGGTTTTTCTCGAGAAAAAATGGGTTTCAAGAAATTAGCAATGCAGTCTATTTTCTCTTCTGATCGATTATTTTTTGTTTACGGATCAAATCCGAATTTTTTTTGAAGGTAGGCTTTTTGTAGAAGCTTTGTGCTTTGGGAATTAGGCGCGTTATTTGCCATACTACTTCTTGCTGTACTGTATGATTATAGACTTGCAAATCTGAGGCAGCGATCGACATGTGCCAACCAGGGTGCCGATGTGCCGACAAACATCGAAGGAATGAGAACGGGAAATGCATTCGGAACAAAATGTGCTACAAAAGTATGTTTCTCGATAGAGGGTATCCCGGTAAGAATCAGACAAAGTAATCCCTTGACTCGACGCGATTCCTCAACAATCTCTGCTAGCCTGCCCTCTCCTCTTCCTCAACAATCTCTGCTAGCCTGCCCTCTCCTCTTCCTCAACAATCTCTGCTAGCCTTCCCTCTCCTCTTCCTCAACAATCTCTGCTAGCCTTCCCTCTCCTCTTCCTCAACAATCTCTGCTAGCCTTCCCTCTCCTCTTCCTCAACAATCTCTGCTAGTCTGCCCTCTCCTCTTCCTCAACAGTCTCTGCTAGCCTGCCCTCTCCTCTTCCTCAACAATCTCTGCTAGCCTGCCCTCTCCTCTTCCTCAAAAATCTCTGCTAGCCTGCCAGCCGGGAAAACAAAAACTGTTTCATGGAAAGTCAGGGATCATAAAATAATCGTATTCATAATACCGGTAGCTGATGTGTTTTCAATTTCAGGCCCTGGATGCCAAGAAAATGAGGAGTGGAATAAGTGCTTCGCCTGCGACAAGAAATGCGGCCAGGAGGTGGACGCGGTAGGTTAAGCCAAAAAATATCCGAAAGTCTCTGTACCGCTAAAAAATATACGATAAATACCCCCTCCGATAATGCAAAAGTACCGAAAACCGCTGTTTTTTCAGGGCTGCTCCTCGGATTGCCGCTCGGGCTGCACGTGCGTGAGTGGATTTGCACGTAACGACAATGGGACCTGCATTCCGGAAGTGGACTGTTGACGAAGAGGAGAACACGGACTTTGGATAGATTTGGAAAAGAATAAACATTGTTAATTAAATGGGAAAGGACGTAATGAAGCGAAGAAAACAAGCACAAATCACTAAATACAGGGCCACGAAAGAACTTACAACAGAAAAACATACTTTTTTGGAATTCATTTTGCTTCTTTCGAATTTTTCGTTGGGGGCTCCAAACATCTTTTATATTTTCCACCTTTTTTTAGTACTAGAAATGTCTAGTATAACTTAATACAAAGTGTTTTTATGGATTTTTATTGAAGTATAACCGTACTTCAACTCGAAAATCAATCTAAAAACTTTTGACAAGTTTTAAGAAGTCGAAATGTTGGGCAAAACGGCCTTTTTTTGCTAGAAAAATCATTATTTTGGATATTTTTTTAAAAAATAGTTAAGTTTTTACGTGTAAGAATAGTAAAAAAACCGCTTAGAATCAATTCCACTATTTATATCGGAAAATAGATGGTTCCCCCTGATAATGGGAAAGAACCGAAAACCGAAATTTTTTCGCCAAATGTAATGTTTCAAGAAAATCCATTACAAGACCAAGCCTTCCGATCCTAATACAACCACTATAGTTGACGGCGAGCAAAAAAAAGGAACAAAAAAGGATGAAATGCGACATTTCGACGCTATTTACATTTTTCCAAGTCTCAAAATTTACATGAAGAAGGCCATTACATACGGAAAAAACACAGGAAATTCGATTAGCATAAATTGCAGGGTATAAAAGCTGGGCAAGCGCCTACTGTAGCCGTTTTTGTACTCTCCACTCGACAATTATGGGTTTACTATTTCAATTCTTAACAACAATCATCTCGTGGCTTGGCTTCAACGGTGCTCTTGGTCATTTTGGTATGCTTTTTTAGATTTTGACGATTTTTAAGATTATGCTAATGACGCTAATTGCGCGATAGAATAAAACAATTGCTTCTTTTGCATTATCGGGGGGGGGGTTTCCTATAGGCCCAGAAAGTCCTAGGAATTTCAGTTTTTCGAAAATTTTACTATGTTTAAAGTAGAAAGCTTTGTGGACACAATAATTCCTAAAAAGATATTTTGAACTTCTAATTTCATCGAAACACATTTTTTTAATTCTTAATTTTCAAATTTTTGGGATTTGCAAAGTATGAAGTTGTTGCAGTTACCATTAATTAAAAAGTCTAGTAAAATTCAATATCCAAAATTTGCAGTGATGCTCTCCGTCGGCGCGCTGCTGATCGTCGAGTGCAAGACGGCGCAGACGACAAAATCTGGTCCGGCTCCTAAGGTATCCACGATGTTCCCTTCAATGGTCCTTTAAAGGAGCTAGCAAGGCCTGGCTAAAATTCTTGATTTAATATTATTTTACGAATTCGCAATATCGTAAAATATCGTAAAAATAAATCGATATTCCGAATTTAATTTAGACACCAGTCGGGCCGAAACCCGCCTCCCGAAAAGGCGTCAAACCGCCGACAACCCCGCGCAAAGCCGTCCAGCCGTCCGTCGGCGGAAAGACGGGTAATTTGGAGCGTTGTGGACTTTTTTTGGTACTAGACTAGCGGGGGGGGGACTAATTTTGTTTTTGTCCGTCTATTGCGATCGGGTATTAACAAATAGTGTATTTTCATATTTTTTAGAGGTTTTTGATTGCTTGAAAGTTACAACAAAATTTAAAACATTTTTCAACGTTCGAAAACCATTCTTTTTGGGTCATTTTTGATCCATTTTTGGCCAATAGGTCAACATCTTTCGCAAATTTTTCTAGCTTTAATAAGCATTTTATATAGACAAAACGGTGTAAGATGCGATAAAAAAGTATCTTTTGTCAAAGGGCCGCAGTGAATTTCCCCGAAAAATTATTCCCCCCGCTAACAGTACAATACCAATTTTTTCGTTAATTATTAGCACGGCGCATGATATGGAAACCCCATTAACGACGAAATTTTTTGAAAAAATATTACAGATTGATGAAACATCGAATTTTTATACCCAATTAAAGATGCCCTTTTCCAGCAGTACTTTTTCAGACAAACAGGCGCACGGCGAGCAAACCGAGCGCGTGTCGATCCACGCGGCGCCCAGCAGCGAGCAGCTTGTCTGTTTTTTTTTTGTGAAAGCTTTAAAGCCTATCAATCTTAATTACATTTCATTGTTCAATTTAAAAGATTAAATCGCAATTTCTAGATCCCCCAAATACACAAAAATGACATCTAAAAAAGCCTTTTTTAGACATGCAGCCACGAGGGCGTGGGCAAGACGCAGATGTCGATTGAAGGTGCGCCTGATTAGGATAGGAAAATGAAAATAAAATTCCTAAATTGGATTTTGCTTGAACGTAACAAATCTATGCAGGCGGTCCACCGGCCGCGACGCCCCGGAAGCAGCGCAGCAACACCCAAGGCACCGGCCGCGGCCCGCCACAACGCCGCGCACCCTCCAACACACAGAATAATAAGGTCGGTATAATTTTATTACAGGGTGTCCCAAAAAAAAAGACACCGGCCGCATTTCTCTATTTTGGGTCCGATCAACTTGAAATTTTGCACAGAGGTAGCGAAGTCAATTTCCCATGAACACAGAAAGTTTCAGCCCCATCGGTCAGCGGATTTTAAAGTTATAACGTAAATACTTTTTATTTTTTTATTTAATATGGGGATCGATGCAATTTGCATCAAAAATGTGCGTAATTTTGTCATTTACGAGCTGATTTTGCATAATTTTTGCCGAAAAAAGCCATTTACAGTTTTGCGCTTCGTAAAACGATTGCGCATGGGAAGTAAAAATGATCCACAAAACCGTCAGATATAAGAAACCAGTATTGTAACATACGTTCACCGGTTGTTTTAATTTATTTCTCGGCTTACGCATAGATTTAAAGCCTCGATTTGGATTTAGGCATTAATTTGAAGCTGGTCGAACGCTGCGTCGAGTCCAAGGCAGGCCCAACTGACCAAAACTTCAATAAAATGTGTTTGAGTGTTCAAAAAGCTGCCGTTTTCACCATATTTTGTTTGTCATGCGCAATCGTTCTTACGAAGCGCAAAACTGTAAATGGCCTTTTTCGGCAAAAATTATGCAAAATCAGCTCGTAAATGACAAAATTACGCACATTTTTGATGCAAATTGCATCGATCCCATATTAAATAAAAAAATAAAAAGTATTTACGTTATAACTTTAAAATCCGCTGACCGATGGGGCTGAAACTTTCTGTGTTCATGGGAAATTGACTTCGCTACCTCTGTGCAAAATTTCAAGTTGATCGGACCCAAAATAGAGAAATGCGGCCGGTGTCTTTTTTTTTGGGACACCCTGTATATAATTTACTCTAATAAATACCTTTACCTTACTCTACTTAATTTAGCGATGCTTCAAGTTAAAACTCTAAAAAATGCTAAAAAATCTAAATTTTGTCGAAACCCTGCCATTTTTGGGTAGAAGAATCCGTATTTTTGCATTTAGAGATAGTAAAAAAAACAAGCATATGTTTCAGACATTTTCCAAACCAACTCAATAAATCTGGGCATAAGGTAACGAAAATCGACGGTGCTACATTCGAAAAACTTTCCCTGAAATTGCTGCCTAAAAAATCAATTTCAAGGTTTACAATCCGAAACCTATGTTTTCAGAAAGCCCCCCAGAAGCAGAACACATTCGACGGCACGCAGGAGCCCGACCAGGAGCACAAGGAGAAGGAGAAGGAGAAGGAGCGAGAGAAGGAGAAGGAACGAGAGAAGGAGAAGGAAAAGGAGAAGGAAAAGGAGAAAGAAAAAGAAAAAGAAAAAGAAAAGGAGAAGGAGAAGGAAAAGGAAAAGGAGAAAGAAAAAGAAAAGGAAAAGGAAAAGGAAAAGGAGAAAGAAAAAGAAAAAGAAAAGGAAGACAAGAAAGAAGAAACCGAAAAGGACAACGAAAAAGAGCCGAAGGGCAAACGGCCCACCGAGGGAGGAGGCCAAGAAAAAGGACAAGGAGGAATTGGTGGGCACTTTTGAGCTAATTTTTCCGTGGATAATAGCTTATAGAATTAGCAAAAACAAATTAATATAGCTAATTTCTTCAATTACAGTGAATCCAACTATACGGTAAAACTATCGGCTTTTCAGGAGGTGATGGTGACGCAGGACAAGGATGAGAGCCAAAAACCCCCGAAGACCCCGACGGAAGGTCGGTGTTACAGAAAAAACCTAGACCTATAAAAAGATTATAGAATTCTAAGCAAAAAGTTGTCGCAAAGCTCTAAACTTACAAAATAAACAAAGCGAATATTTCACCTACCTTTTTTGCAGAAGAGAAAAAGGCCAAACCCGAGGAGCCGTCCGATGAGAAGAAAGCGGTCGAGAAGGACGAGAAAAAGGAAGAAAAGAAGCGAAGCGAAAAGAGGAGAAAGACGAGAAAAAGAAGGAGAAGAAGGCCAAGGAGACGAAAGAGACGATGGATGACGAATAGATCGAATATGGAACCTCATGAAATTCCCTTTTTTGTGTATCTTTTTCGTTTTGTGCGTTTGACTGATTTCGAAATTATGCCCCGTTTTTTGTGTTTGGATAAACTATTAGATACCAAAAGAAGATTGCTTGGCCGACCGATCGGTTCGGCGCCATGTGCTCGAAAAGCGCCGAATAGAGCATTTTTGGTACAAATCGAGAGGTTTATTTTTATTTTTAATAGATTTTTAATAGAAGCAATAAGTAATAAACCAGTTGAAAAGAAATAGTTTCAAAAAACGAAAATGTTTTTCGGCGGTTGACCTCAAAAATACGACACGCTACGTGTTATACCGTAACTTGGAACGTAATACCTGCCCCCGGGAACCTTTCATTTTTCTTCCCGCAAACGAAAAATTGCAAATTTTCTCGGTAGCTTTTTTTTTCTCGAGTTTTACTTCAAAAACGGATTACTTTGTTAATTTTCTGCAGCGGTCTTACAATTGATCACACGCGCCGTGTTTCAAAACAGTCTAGATTCCGGGTCGTGCAAGCCAAGCGTAGCTTTCTTTTGCTTTATTTCGGCTTCGTTCCAGTTTTTGAACTTTTTAGAAATGTTAGCGTTCCCGTTTTTGTGTTAGGCATCAGCACAAAAACCAGCGCCAGATAAAGGATGGCTTCCAACAGGTCCGACCGCGGGTCTCGCTTTCCTGAGTGGTTTGCCGGATTCTGAATACTCCCCGCGTCGAAACCCCGCCGGCTTCAAAGGCCATTTCCGCAAACTAAGAAATTAAGCGCGATAATGTGTTTTTAGGAAGAAATGCTTTGAATTACACTGCCTTGAAAAAGCGCAGCTCCTCTCTATTTCTAGCATTGTTACTTTTACTTTTATGTTTCTAAAATTAGTCAGTCGGTTAGCTAAAGTTATTTTACTTCTCTCTGCGAAACTATATTATCTCACGTCCGTTTTTGCAGGTACAATGCCACCAACCGTCTCGGATTCGGTGCGCTTGCCCCGCTCGCGTACCGCTTCCGTGGCCGATGTGCTCGAAGAAGCTGAGGATATTGTGAAGCCGGTGTCTGCCGCTGCTGACGAAGATTTGGTAGCGGTTCTCCCGCTTTTCAATCTGTTCTTTCAGAGCGAACCCGATACGGATGCGGCCAGCGAGTCGAACCTCGGCGCCGAGGACGAGTACGTCGAGGATGAGAATGTGGTCGTCGACTACATGAGTGACGATCTTGGAGAGGTAAATAATAGTGGAAAACTTCAAGGATATTTCATTCGAAAAACCGCCTCGCGGCTTTTCAAGTCTGATTCATCCCGAAAACAGAAAGGTGGAGGAAACCAAAACTTTTTTCTTGAGACAGAATTTTTCAAATATGAATAGCGGAAGTGTTTTACACTGGTTTCTTCCCTATCCCTAAACATAAAAACTTGCCGATTTTATTAGAAAAAATACAAAGACATCGGTTTTTCGGCCAGAAATAGCCGTTTTTGACCGTTTTTATACTTTTTGTCACTAAAAGCATTATTAACATACTTCCGAACGTTACTGGGCGGTCTAGACGAGTGCCAATAAAACTTGCTTTCCCCGATGATGTCAAAGACCGCATCGAGCCAACTCGAGATCTCGACATAGTTATACCCTCTATTATGCCAGTATCACGCTAATACTGGAACGCCAACAGTAAAACTATTTCTTATTTTCTACTCATGTGATGATCATTTAGGTGATCTCCCGCTTCCCGTGCCAATACACGAACATCATCCCCGAGTTCGCCGACGTCGAGTTCTTCATGGTGTCCATCGATTCGTTGCTGCTCGAATGCGCCGCCCACAGCTACCACAACTGGCACAATGGCGGGCAAACGCGTGTGCTCATCGCCCAGGTTCACCCTTCCCCCGTTTTCCACGTCCATTTTTAGGTTGACAACTTTGTCGACCAGTTCACCCGTCTTGGCGGCAAGTTCAAGCTGGTGCTCTTCAACCGTCTGGGCGATCTGTTCAAGAAGGACACCACGCTGGGCTTCATGCGGGCGGCTGTCATCGCCCATTTGATGCAGGGAGCTCACAAGGATGAAATCGAGGTATGGTTGAACGGTTCTTTCGCATTATCGGAGGGGGGTAACCGAACTTTTTTGGGTTTTGATGTCTAGTAACTTAATAGCAAATGTTTTAATATTGTTTTAGTGAAAAATAATTAGGTTTCACCTAGAAAAACTATTTAAAAACTTTTGAGAAGTTTAAAAAAAAACAGGTCGAAAAATCCATATCTTTACCCTGACAATGCGAAAGAATCTATTCTACTTATGTCTATGTGATTACAGAGCTTCGACTCTCCGATGGACCCTCGCTGGGCGCATTACATCGCCGATCTGACGCCCTCGTTTTTTGTAAGTTTCTTTCGTCGCGATAACTTTTGGTTTTTAGATGACGAGCACCTCCGATCCGGTGTCCGGCATCTGCCCCGACGAACACGTGAATACCAAGGCTCATTTCGAAACTATCGGTAGCTTTTGAGCCCTAATTGACGTTATTGCTGGTTTTAGTACTCGACGTGCTTGCCCGTACCGTTCCCGTCGTGCCGCTCAGCCACCTGGTCGTCAACTTCTCGTCCGTGAGAGCCTTCTACATCTCGCCGAGACTCGTCACCGCGGCCAACCACGAGCAGTACCTCGAGGCGCTGTGGGGCTCGGGCTCGTGCCAGGAAACTGCTGCCGCTCCGTCGCAACTCGCCGGAAAAGATGCGCCGACCGCCTGGGCCAACATCATCAAGCAGCTGAAGGGGTCAGTGCTGTTGTGATTTTTCTCGTCTGCATCACTGGTCAGAAAAATCACTAGATTCTTGTGGATCTATTCTTATTCTATCGTCTATGTGATGCACTAGAAGCGTTTGTACATTTTTTTTAGTATTCCTGAGCACAGAAACCGTCAAAATTTTAAGTAAAAATTTAATTTTAGCTAAAAAAAAATTGATTTGTCTCGCCAGATGCGACTTTCTCAAGTACTTTTCTATCATTTTTGATCGTTTTCCTACCTTAATTCCAGTTAAAACGTGCTATCAGCGATACCAAAACACTAATTTGATGGAAAACTTTTACCTCGATTTTCTCTTTAGATCCGGCGACAAGCTCAGCCCCGACTTTGAAGACTTTGCCAACGCCGTCATCCTCGCCTCTATCCTCAATAAGAAGCCCGGCGCCGCACGTCAATATCCCGCGGAGAAGAAAGGGCAACCCGGTAAGGCTTAGCTAGAAACCTTATATTTATTTCAGTTGCCCTGCCTTTGGAGCGCAACCTCTTTCTGCAAGCTGCAACCAAGTTGATTGGCCAGGAAGCCGTGGCTTTTCCGATCATCGACCTCTGGGATGGTCGCTTGGTCGCAGCTCTTTTCGACGGGATCAAGGCTGGAGACAACGTGCTGCCAGCCAGTCTTCAGAAGGAATTTGAGGCTCTACAAGCCATTGCCGGCTCGAAGAAACCGCTTCCGGTTGACGCTGACGAGAAGCTTCTCAGCAAGCCGACGGCCGGCACCGCGAAGGAACTGGCGGTGCCCTGCATTCACAATGTGGGTAATTATGTGCTTGATTTCTCATTTATGAGGTGTCCCAAAAGTGCTATAATTCTCCTCTCTATAACGAGTTATAAATGATTTTTCTAGCATTTTACATACTTTTTAATACGAAAAAATTAAAATTTCTAAAAATTTTCGCAAAGGTTTGACTTTTTGGTCTAAAAGTCCAAAAAAAAAGGAACTTTTTCGAAACGAATTTCTGCTTGAATAAATACCTTTTTTTCATTTTCAGATCTCCTCTGCGCTGTTCGATACCTACTTGAAGGATGTGAAGGGCAGGGATAAGCCAGTGCTTATCGATGGTACGCTACTTGACTAACAGCTTTTCATACCATTTTAGAGCCGTTCGACGATCAGCTGGAGACGCGCTACCGCTGGCGTTTCCACGCCGTGCCCGAACTATGCGCCCAGGAGACCGAAAAGGTCGAGACGAATGAACGCCTGAAGAAGCGGGCCAACAAGAGCCGCCAATTCTTGAGCCGTTGGTATGAGCAATTTGCGCACTCGCTGGAGGGCCGCGGCACGAATCTTGTCGTCGACTTTTCGCGGGCTGCTAGGGTGACGGCCACCGCCGATGAAGCCGCCGAGAAGGAGAACAAGAAGGGATGGGCCGGGCAGAAGAAAGGAGGTAAATTTTTGAGCCTAAGAATTTAGGCGTCATTTTAACAATAACAATGTATTTTTAGACCGTTTTTATTGATTTTGATGACTAGAAATGAATTTTTGGAGATTTTTGCTTTATGTAAAAAAAAAATTGGAAAATTCTATAAAAGTTTTGCTGGAAATTTCCCCGTAAGTGGGAAGCGCCATATGTATCGGTTTTCTAGGTGGCGGCAAGCACAAGGTGTCCAAGAAAGCCGAGATCCTCGAAGCAAACAAGAAAGCGAAGACGAACAAGCAGATGGAAGACGAACGGCACAAGGTCAAATTCGCCATGGCACAAGGCAAAAATGTGAGAGCTTTCCCAGATCTTGAAATTATTCTTAGGCCACCAACTGCCTGGCCAACATCTACTTTTCGTTGGAGACCCCGGAGATGAAGTCGTTGTGCGACTACGAGCTTTTGACAAGATATGCTAGGTAAAAATATCTTCTTTTTTATGTTATTAGCTCTCTAGGGACATGCAAGAGACGTGGGCTGGCGATGCGCATCTTGAAGACCGCCGTCGTTATGCTGTCAACGTCGTCGGGTTGCTGAAGAAGGGCATCACGCAACATTGGGAACATTTGGACGAGAAGCAGCGTGATGATGTAGCCAACTTTGTCGTTATTAAATTTCCCGATTTTAGCTGTCCAACATCTGGCACTCGCTCGGCTTCGCCCCGTTCACCAGCCGCAAGGTTTCCACAGAGGCCAAGGCCCAGAAGTTGACGCTGAAGATGAACCCGGTAATAATTGGCTGTGGGTGTTCAGCAACAATTAGGTGTACTACCAAATGCGCTACGGCGGCGAGCTGATCGACATCCAGTCGGACCCGCAGAAGGACGAGCGCGTCACCGGTTTCCACCCGGACGCCTGGCAAAGGGACATGTTGGACGTGGTCGATAAAGGTATCGAGGTTTCGGCACTTTCGCATTAGCGGGGGTCAACTTTTGATCATGTCGAACTTTGCAAGTTTCTATGAATAAATAAAAACTATATTTTTGACAAAATTTTTAAATTTGGAATTTTTTCTGAGGTTTTGTATAGTTTTTTTTGCTTGAAATATAACCTTAATATTAGTATGAGGATCTTCTATGCCGTGGCTAGATAGATCTGGCCTTGTAGGTACCCCCGATGATGCGAAAGATGCTAGCCTTCCGACCGCTTATATTTTTGTCTAGGAAATTCTGCCTTGATCGTCGCGCCAACCTCGGCCGGGAAGACGTTCATCTCCTACTACTGCATCGAGCGAATCTTGCGCGCTTCCGACGAGCATGTGGTCGTCTACGTGTCCCCGTCGAAGGCGTTAACGAATCAGGTATGCACATTGGGCCTTTCTGATCGGTTTTTAGGTGTGCGGCTCCATTTACGCCCGCTTCCGCAACAAGTCCATGACGCCCGGAAAGTCGCTGTTTGGAACGCTATCAAACGACTATAACTTCAATGCCCTGAATTGCCAGGTAAAATTTCTGCTGTTGCTAATCTAATTTCACTCTAAGGTCCTCGTGACCGTCCCGGACGCCTTTGAGAACCTGTTGCTGTCGAAGACGGCCGAGGCAAAACAATTTGTGAACAAGATCCGCTACGTCATCTTCGACGAAGTCCATTCTATCGGGTAGCCTTCCCTAGTCACGATATATTTTGTCTTTTTAGCTCTTCTGACGATGCCGTCATCTGGGAACATCTCATATTGCTGATCAACACGCCGTTCCTCGCCCTCTCGGCTACCATCGGCAACGTGAACAAGCTGCACGAGTGGATGAACAAGCTCGAGCAGGACAAGTCGGACAAAGCCAGAAGGGTGTGTTTTGTAGCTTTCGAAAAGTCTTTTTTTTTACTAGAACCTCGTAAAAGCTGCATTTTTCACGCTCAATAAATTTGTTCCCCTGCTAACCTGTGTTCTTTGTTCAGTTTTTATCCTCATCTCTAGGTCTCGCTGATCACGCATCAAGAGCGCTACTCCGAGCTCGAGCTCGCCATCCACAACATTGTCGACGCAAAGGGCGCCGAGGAGAAGATGGTATGGTTTTTTTATTTCATCAATACTCGTTTTTTCAGGGCCTGATCCCCTTCATCCCCTACGGCGTCTACATGCCGGAGAAGCTGCGCATGTTCGGCATCCCCGAGGACCAGCAGCTGACCGCCCGCCAGATTCTTGAGCTCTACGAGACGATGTGCGAATTTGACGACCAGACGAAGTAAAGATTTGCGATGATTTATGCAAATTACTGTGCTAAGACCGAATGTGTTCTGCTAATTTTAGAGTCGACTTTGAGCCTTGCGCCTTCTTCAAATACGAGCCGACAAAGCCCGTCTGGCTCTCGAGGGCCGATCTGAGGAGGCTGGAGTCGGGGCTGAAGGATCGGTATGTTGCTTCGTTTTTTGAATTGTTCGTGAAATTTAACTTGAATTAAATATCGTTTTAGATTCCTGCACCTGTTGCAACACGACGAGCCCAAGATGCGCCGAATTTTGGAGGCCTTCCAGAAGCCCATCGAGGGCCAAATGCAGGCTCGCTCTCGCGCTTACAATCAGGTACCTTGCAGTTGGCGTGTTAGATTTTTACGTTTTTCAGGAACAACTGCTCAGCCAGCACATCGTCCCGCTCATTGACAGCCTCCAAAAGGACAAGATGCTGCCGGCCATCTGCTTCAACGAGGATCGCTCCACCTGCGAGAATATGGCAAAACAGTAAGGAGTTTTCTGAGCGCAGCGCAATTTTTCTGGTTTCTGGCTTTTTGAAACCGGTGGTTGCGGTTCCAAAAGTGTTTTTAGAACCTTAATGAGCCATCTAAAAAGAATCTGTGGATTTTCATAGGCATTCACTCCTTCCCGCCAATTCCCCTGAATTTGCGCTTCAATGAAGCTAAAAGTTATTTCAGCCAATTCGTATTTCAAAATTCAGTTTAAAGTTAAAACCGGCGCTGTTCGATCAAAAATTTAGGGCTGCAAGTCTTGACGCCATTTTGGTAAACGCTTATTCTTATTTTTTAGACTCTGCGATGTACTCGAGGCGCGCCAACGAGAATGGGAGCTGACCGCCGAGTTCAGGGACAAGTTCGAGATCCGCGACGAGGAGAAGCTGATGAAACAGGCAAAACGCCGTCGCGATGCTGCCGAGAAGAAAAAGAAGGGCGACAAGCCGGAGGACGAGCCCGAGCAGGAGGATTTCGCCTCGGACCCGCTCGCCATGCAACGGGCCAAGCTGGAGAAAGCGTTGGAGCGGTCGGTTTATAAAGCTTGTTCTTTATTTTTGTCCTTCAGTTTCCGTCTCCACGGGCGGACAATCGTCGATTCTGATGCGTACGAGAAGATGACGGAACGTATGAAGCGCCAGGCGAAGGGCAGGAGTAGCACAAGGTAGCTTTATCGAATCCCTAGGAAAATGTCGCTTTTAGGTTACTGCTGCAATTGTTTGAGCGTGGCATCGGCTTCCACCACGACGCCTTGTCGATGGTCGAAAAGGGCGCTGTTGAGGTACTGTTCCGTACCGGCCATCTGTCGCTGCTCTTCTCGACAAGTACACTGGCTCTTGGGTAAATTGAAGTTGTCATTTCCACTTTCCATTTTAGTATCAACATGCCGTGCAAGACCATCATCTTTGGCATCGACGACCCGAAGCTGACGCCGTTGCTCTACCGGCAGATGAGCGGTCGTGCGGGTCGGCGTGGGTTTGACCACTCTGGCAAGGTCATCTTCACCGCCATTCCGACTGGGTCAGCTTTTAGCTTTTGCTTACAACCCTAATTTTGCTTTAGAAAAATGCGCCGCCTGCTGACCGGCTCGTTGCCCAACTTGCACCCGAACCCGCCGTTCACGATCTCCTACTTGCTGCGCATCTTCTCGCGCCTTCACCAGCAAAACCCGGAGCACGAGGAGGGACTGAACGAGTCGATGAACACGGTGCTGGCGAAGAGGCTCAAGGTATCGTTTGTTCTACAGGGTCTCTCAGAAAAAGGTCCGGGTCTATCGGGATGTAGAAATTTTTGATTTTGACGATTTCTGGTTCTTTCGCATTATCGGGGGATGGAACTTTTTTGTAAAAGTCTAGAAATGTCTAGTAACTGAATAGCAATTGTTTTAATAGTGTTATTAACAAACAAGAGCTATATTTCAACCGGAAAGCTACGTAAAAGGTTTTGGCAACCTCGCCATTTTGGTAAAAAAAGCGGCCATTTTTTTCAAAAATTTGTATTTATGAGATCTTTCAATCAAATTTTGTATAGTTTTCATGTTTAGGTATCGTAAAAACCATTTAGAAAAACTGCCACTAATTATATTTAAAAAATTCGATTCTCAGAAAAAGTTGCCCCGCCCGATAATGCCAAGAAACCCGTAGAAATCGGGCACTCCCAGCCGCGACGGGTCTTTTTTTGGATACCTCTGTATTTCTATTATCACGTTTAGGCCGCCACGAATCTGCTGACCAACTCGTTCGCCTTGGTCACACGTACTGGCGACGATCGTGTGAACCTGTTGCGCCAGTTGCGCGTCTACACCTGGTTCTCAGCCCAACTCCTGCGCGACGAGCAGTTGATTGACAATAAGGTCTTGCCGAGAATTTGCCTAAAAAAGGATTATTTTAGGGCGCCGGCCGTGGTCTGTTCGAGATGGTCACCATGCTGCAGGCGTACGAGCCCGGGAATCTGGTGTTTGCGCACCTGCTGCAGCGCGGCGTCTTCCACCACCTGTGCCGCAAGCACAAGGGCGACGAGCTGAAGCAGATCGTGCTGAACATCCTGGCCACACTGCTCACGCGCAGCTACTTGCCGCCCAACTACGACACGGCCAAGGGGGTATGCGTGCTATTTTTAATTTTTTTTTGACTGTCTCCTTGTATTTAGGTCCACCTCCAACCTTTGCCGGAAATCGTCGAGGTCGAGGTGGTCGGCTACTCGGCGAAGGCGATGCAGATGTACAACGACTTCATGCGCACGCTGGCCCCGAATGGAACTTTGATGGTAACTGCTAGAATCCGCCTTTATAACGATTTTTAGGACCCCGACTATGCCATCTCTGGCGCCACGTTCACCAAGGAGCACCACTTCAAGCGCGAGCTCGTCCCGGTTTTCGCAAAGTCGTTCTCGTTCGACGAGAGCTTCGTGCCAGCCATCGACCTCAAGCCGGTTGACCACCGTGGAGAAAAGGTAGCTTTTTTAAACTCTTTTTCACACCGCAATTTCTAGATCCACCTCAACTCGTTCGCCGTCGACTTCTGGAAGCACCGCTCGCGCAACTATCTTCTGATGAACAACAAGATTCCGGTGAACCAGGTCTGGTACATGGTCACCGAGTTCAAGGTAAGCTATATCTTTGCTTCTTGATCTAGAATTCAGAATGCCCTGCTCACCATCGGTCACGCCCTGCAGCTTGTAGCCCGCCCATCGGATGCTGTCGCCGATTTGATGCTGGTTCGTTTTTCGAAGGACTTGTATTTACTTTTCTTTCCAGAACCTGGCCAACGAGTACGACGAGCGCATGCGCCGCGTCTTCGGCATGAAGAAGCGCAGCTGAGCACGCCCGAGAAGTGCAAAGCCCGACAAATTATATTTCACTCGCCTCCCATATTGTCTTTCCCTGTAGCGATTGATTGTTTCTTTCTGCGCGTGTGATAACATTTCCAGTCTTTCTGCACCCACTGTTCTTCCGTTGGTATTCTTGTAATTGGGTGCGTTTTATATGTTGACGTTCGGCTTACGATAAATTTTAAACTATCCTTGTGATTGAGAGAAATCGAGCTTTGGCATGTCCAATGATAACCATGGCTTATCGGCTTCCGGAAACGCGAATCGGCATATTTGCCCGGAGTATTTTATCAGCGTTTTATCTAACAATAAATACTTTAAAATTATTTTGAAAAAAATCTACATTTTGCTAAAAACTTGCCAGTTTTCGTCATAAACAAAAATTCGTATTTTTGATCTGTTGCTGCTAAAATTTGTAATTTTTTTTACGTTTAAGAATAGTGAAAAACGGTTTAGAAGCCGATCCGCTATTTATATTTGGAGAATTGGATCCTACGAAAAACACCCTGCTCGGTGTTGGAAACCGTCTCGAAAATGTTCAGCCAGAGAATTTTTGTAGAAAACAGCGTTTTTGTGAACAAAAAAATTTCTATTGTGGTGTTTCTCCCTAGCTACTCAGTCGGAACGGGATTTTGCCCCCTCAAGGCCACCGTGAACACAAATTTCAAAAAGGCGGGTGGGACAACGAGCGAAATTTCCACGATAACAACTGATAAAAACCCAGGGGTTGGGAATTTTTTGTAATGCGGATGAAATAGAGGGCTATTTGAGAGAATAAAGAAGGGCTGCCGCGGTAAATAAGATTTTAGGGAACGGCCTCGAAGATGAGACTAACTAGAAGATCCGCCAATTTAATTTCAACAATATCTTTCGCTAGAGGAATATGCGTTTTAGGTTTTTGGTAGCTGTCGCTAAAGTTGTGTGTGCCAGTAAATATTTAAAGTTTTGTTCAAGTTTTCAAGTTCGCTCGAGTCAACGAAGCAAGTCAAAACCTCGAAAACAAAATGTTTCACGGGTTTTAAGGTCGGGCGATTTTTTCGGTTTCTTATTTGGAAGTTCTAATCGATAAATTGATCTTTTTTTGTAATTTAGAATGCCCCAATTCCTGATCGCAATGTTGCTGTTGATATCGTTAGCCGCGGCGATGCCGTTCCCTGGCTACGGTGGAGGAGGTGAGTTTGGAAGTCGAGCAATTATTTAAAAAGTTGGTGATATTCAATTTTCGGCTACTACTTTTTATTCAAGCGAATTAGTGAGACAAAAATAATGATCCTGTCTTCTCTGTCTCTTCGAAAAACCTCAAAATCCAGGAATGTACGGCGGAAATATGGGAGGGATGTACGGTGGAGGCGGCCAGTACGGTACGTTACACTTTGCAAGGATTACGGACTTTCCACTTATGTAAAAGCTCGTGGGATAAAGAGGTAGGAGTCGAATTACAATGGCAAATTGGAGAATTACTTTATTAGCGACTGAAAAAAACTTAAATTCATTAAATTTTGATTTCAGGTGGCGGTGGATACGGTAAGCCGGCCCCCCTTCGGTAGCCTGTAGACGATCTAACTCTGTTGAGTGCCCTTCTTTTTAATTAATCTAACTTTAAAGCAAAGCAAAAATGTCGCATGATTAAGCTCGCACGGGTAGGGGTCGGAATCTCGAAATTTTGGAATCTCGAAATTTCTGAATCTCGAAATTTCGGAATCTCGAAATTTCGGAATATCGAAATTGCGGAATCTCGAAATTCCGGAAATATTAGCAGATTCCTGGAAGCAAAACTATTATGTATCCAAATTTTTCAGATACAAATACAAGATCTCCGATAAAACGAAAAGTAGACCCTCTGAAAAAAAGGTGTTTATCAACTCGTCGTTTCAAGGGCTTTCGGATGGTATAACTATCATCCCGATCCGACGCTTCTCCGTCGAGTTAGAGGGGGTGTTTTCTTTTATCGGGACCATTTATATTTGAATATCTCTTTGCATATGGGCAGGGACGTAGCGTAAGGTGGGCCCCCTGGGCCTGTGCCCCGAAATCGGCCGGGGCCCAAAAATTTCATAAGGGGGGACCCTTATGATTTTTATTTTCTCAAAAATTTTGCTGCCTGCGGCGCTATTTTTTCACGTTTTTACTGCTAGTTATAGAGCTATGTTACCTTTTTTCCAAAATTTTTTGCCTGCGGCGCTGTTTTTTCGTTAATTTTTTGAGTTTTTCGGAAAAAAATTTTCGGGGCCCCCCCGAAATTTTTTTCTGGCTACGCCCCTGCATATGGGTATCTCCAATACTTCCGGAATTTCGAGATTCCGAAATTTCGAGATTCCGCCATTTCGAGATTCGGAAATTTCGAGATTCCGAAATTTCGAGATTCAGAAATTTCGAGATTCCGAAATTTCGAGATTCCGACTATCACCCGCTCGCACTATTGTTCGAAACGCATATTACTTGAGCCAGATATTTTTTTGAAACATTCATTTTCCATTGCAGCAGTGTCTAGGATAGCTTTTAATTTTTATTGTGACAAAAAACTTTCAAGTGTATTGGTTGATCTTGAGCATTCAAGCCAGGCTGTCCAAAATTAATAAGGCTTTCAATTCGTCACACTAAATCCCCTTTCAGCTCTTGCTGGCACCATCCCTTTAACATCAGCCTTAACAACTAATAGCGTAAATTCGTGTATTAAAGAATGTTATTTCAAATTATATAAACCTTTTCAGGCGGCGGTATGGGGCCCGGGATGATGGGCGGGCCGGGGCCAGGCATCGGCGGGCCTATGATGGGATGAGAAAATGTGTTTCACAATTTTTTAGTGCCATCCATCAGCAGATTCATGTAATGCATCTTGCTTGGCGAAGAGAGTACTAATAGAATTTCATTTAATAAAATTAATTAGTTTTAAATGAACGCGGATCACAATTTAAAAAACCACAGCTTTTTAAAATGTTTCGTTATTGAGGATTTTTAGCGTCAAAAATTACTTACTTACTTACTACATTTGTTATTTAAATTAATGTTGATAGAAGTTTGGTGCCTCTGTAATTAGCTTTTCGGCTTTTTCGACTTTCAAGACATTCACCAATTTTTCCTGAATTAAATTAGTTAGTTATTTTAAAACAATTAACTTAATTGTTGCCATTTATCAAAATTTTAATTTTCCCTAATTCTAATTCGTTAAGTGTAGCTTTTAACTTTCAGAAACTTTTAAAAACTGTGACAATTTATATGCTCCAAGATTTTTATTTCCCTATAATATCTATTTTTATTTTTCCGTTTTAAAACTACACTAAACGTTCGCCGTCTGCCAAAAAAGCGCGGTAAATATTATTCGTCGTTTGGCCGGCTAATCCTCGAATAACGAGCCGGGCAATTAACAATGCCGAAACACACCGAAAATAATCGGCCAGTCCATTCTGAATTTCACATCGATCCCCACAACTCGAAAAATGACTAGAATTCTTGTATTTTTGATGGTTCTTGGTAAGTATTTTAATTATATGAATTTTGTATACCTCAAAATTAGTAGGCTTGGCCGTGGCGCAAGGCGAGCCGGCGCTAAACGACTTGAAAATTGGTGAGTATAAAATTTTAATTCAGGTGTTATAAGTTCTAATTTATTTTGCTTAGAAAGATTTACTTTAGGTTATCGTGCTATTAAACTCACTGAAATTAAATAAAAGAAAAAAACTTTTATAAACATCCTACTATATATAAAAAAATAGTGTCTGTGTGTGTGTGTGTGCCACTTTGCATGCAACTTCCGTCAGCGTGTCCGGAGGATATCTCAAGAGGGCAGGGGTTTTAAGGGGCCTATGATACGTCATTAGGTGCGTAATGGCTCTGGGATGACTGCACGCATGTCAGATTTTGCAAATTATGTTATTTTCGACATTAAATTTAGATTTTAGTGAAATTTTCGGGCACCCTCTTTGTTAGGAAACAATTTGCATACGCCGGAAGTGGTGGGGGTCTATATATAGGGGCAGAGGGAGCGTTTTCCATTATTTTTCATCGCAGCCCGGGCAAATTATGCAAAGTGAAGAATAACATGGGGCTCAGACGGGGCCAGGGTTGAAAAGTCGCGTAGCGGCTTTTCAACCCTGGTTAAATACTTAAAAAAACTAAATTTTCGTGTATTTCATTTGTACTAAACATTAATCTAAATTTTTGAGGATAATTATTACGCTTTTTGCACATCAATCAATAATGTCTATCAAAATTAAAAATGGATGTTTCAAATAAAATTTAAAAGTGCCGAATTTTATTTTGGCTAATTTTTTACACTGGCTCAATTCAATTAGATTTAAGTTTTTTTATTGCATAATTTTCCAAAATAACCCTAGGAGTTTTAGGTAGTCCTGCTTCAGCCCCAACTATTGAGCCGGGACAACCAGAGAATGGTAGGGTTAACCTAACAAAATTGTCATGTTGTTGAAATTCCATTTGTGAAAATTTTAATTTATCGAAATCTCTTTTTATCGAAGCTTCATTTTGTTGAAGGCTTAGTCTTTCGAAATTCTTTTTGTTAAAAATTGTCATTTTGTCGAATTTTCGTCTTGTCTAAAATTAATTGGTCGAAACACTTTTTCTCAAAACCTCGTTTTCTAGAAACTTCATTTTGCCGAAAGTTCAATTTGTCAAAGATCGAGAAAGCGAATTTCGACAAAATGAACTTTTCACAAAATGTTTACAGCAAATAAATTAACTTACAAAGTAGGTAGTACAAACTATAAAATTACAGGCTTGCCCTCGTCATCACCGGGACAACCCGTCGAATTGGTGAGATTTTTTACTGGCTGTCTCAACCCGCGAACGATTAAATTACAAAATCTGTGTTGAGTACGGCGCATCGCCGAAACATTTTTTGGAGTTATTTAATGGGATTTATCAGACTTAAACGAACCATTTCTATACGGCTTTTCGACTGGTTTTTGTATACAAAAGAGTTTGTAATTATTTGGGCGTGGTTTAACGACCCTTTGGAAACGTGAATAATTCGAAAAAATAATTTAAAACTCAATTAAATTTACCATGTTTCCGGATTTCATTAATTTCTGCTGTATTTTGTAATTCCTATGTTGCATTACTTCGCACTCAAATTAAAACACTTATTTTTATATTGTTAGTATATTTTTGACGCTCTATCTAATGGCTAAATTGTATAAAAAATACCGCAAATGTCAAAAACCAGCTTTTCACTAAATTTTCCTATATGGAAATCGCGTTCTAGGCCTCACTTTTTGCTATAACTTTTTTATTATACGTAATTTTGAGCTGGAATTAACATTCCTAGCATATTTTTTGATGCTCTATCGATCGGCATCTTGCAAACCGCAAAAATCTAGCACAAAATGTCGAAAATGGTCGTTCGAACCCCATCACGATCGTTATTTTGCAATAACTTTTTCGTATGAAGATATTTTCGCCGCGATAAAAATTCATCGTTGATCGCTTAAGACTCTGCCAAATGGCGTCAAAAAACGCCGAAAATAATAAATAACGTAGTCTTCTCTAAAAATCGGCTTTAGAAAATGTGTTTCAGAAAAAAATGGGTTGCTCAGCATTTTTTCTGGTAGAATAACCCAAATTTAGCTCGAAAATGCCGAAAATTAGATACGAGCGGGGCTTGAAATGCAAATTAATCTGAAAAATTTTGGGCCGGTGATGACGAGCCGGACGTGAGCGTCGGCGAGGAGGAGGGCGCCGACGGCGAAAAGGTCAAAGTGTTCAGCATCCACTCCAAAGGTAAGTGATTGGGGGTATAGAAGATTTTTGGGGTATAGAAGACGTTTTAAATATTTTCAGTTATTTTGAATATTAGAAATAAAGTTCCCATTATTTTATTGAAACTGCCGCCAGAAAGGTGAATTGAAAAATGATGTTTCATTCTGTAAATTGGATAAGTCAGGATGAAAATCCACGATATAAGACCATTTTGTAAATCACACTTTTTGCAGACATGGGAGATCAGAAGATTACGCTCGGCAAGAACAGCGTGAAGGTGCAGTCGAAAACTGTGTTTTGAATAAATTTTTAATAGTATTCGTTTCTTACTGTTTAACGTTAAAGTTTTTTTAGTAAGCATTTTTTATATACCTTTTATATATTTTATTCATTCTCTTCTACAAAAACGAATTGTTTTCCGAATCGTCACCCGAAAAAGCACTTTATTCAGCCCATTGGCGTTAGGAATGGGAGGGCATGGGGGGCCAGAGATAGGGAGAAACATCTCAGGGGAGCCAGAGAAGAGGGAGCATGAGGAGGACTAGACTTCGAACGAGCCGTCGGTTGTTGAGCGCTTCTGGTAGTCGAAAAAGGGGACGATGAAGTTGCTCAACTGCCACAGCCAGCTCCCAGATCCCATCAGGGCGATTAGGCGAGACTCTGAAAAAGGGGATGTTGTCCAAGAATTTCGGCTAGCCTGCCCTCTCCTCTTCCTCAATAATCTCTGTCAGCCTGCTCTCACCCTCTCTCTCTCTCTCTCTCGCTCTCTCTCAACCTCTCTCTCTCTCACGCTCTCTCTATCTTTTTCTCTTTCTCTCTCTCTCTCTGGTCTCTCTCTCTTCTACCCACTGAATGTCCGATCCTGCGGGGCGACATGGTTGAACAACTCGTCATCCTCGTCGACGCAGGCCAGGCGGACAAACTAAAAAATTGATGTTCCAATCAGAACAATCTCGCACCTGGCCAAGCACATCCAAGAAACTGCCGATGATGTTGATGAACAGCCAGATTGTGCTCTGTAAATAGATTAAAAAATAAAATAATTTTTTTAGTATAGTTCCGACACTCCATCCAATTGAATCTATGAAATCCCGACAAAAAGGCTAAAATGCCGAAAACTATGCTAACAATGTTATCTTGTACCGCACCGTATAGTGGAAGAGGTCGGCCCAGGAGGGGACTCGGCGGGTGATGAAGATGGAGGTGAACAGGTAGAAGTAGCCGACCACCACATCTGAGAACAGCTGAGCAACACCCGTCGACGTGTAGTTCTCATCGTCGTGGTGGCTAGAATAGAGGCAGGCTAGCAGAGATTGTTGAGGAAGAGGAGAGGGCAGGCTAGCAGAGATTGTTGAGGAAGAGGAGAGGGTAGGCTAGCAGAGATTATTGAGGAAGAGGAGAGGGCAGGCTAGCAGAGATTGTTGAGGAAGAGGAGAGGGTAGGCTAGCAGAGATTATTGAGGAAGAGGAGAGGGCAGGCTAGCAGAGATTGTTGAGGAAGAGGACAGGGCAGACTAGCAGAGATTGTTGAGGAAGAGGACAGGGCAGGCTAGCAGAGATTGTTGAGGAAGAGGAGAGGGCAGACTAGCAGAGATTGTTGAGGAAGAGGAGAGGGCAGCCTAGCAGAGATTGTTGAGAAAGAGGAGAGGGCAGGCTAGCAGAGATTGTTGAGGAAGAGGAGAGGGCAGGCTATCAGAGATTGTTGAGGAAGAGGAGAGGGCAGGCTAGCAGAGATTGTTGAGGAAGAGGAGAGGGTAGGCTAGCAGAGATTGTTGAGGAAGAGGAGAGGGCAGGCTAGCAGAGATTATTGAGGAAGAGGAGAGGGCAGGCTAGCAGAGATTGTTGAGGAAGAGGACAGGGCAGACTAGCAGAGATTGTTGAGGAAGAGGACAGGGCAGGCTAGCAGAGATTGTTGAGGAAGAGGAGAGGGCAGACTAGCAGAGATTGTTGAGGAAGAGGAGAGGGCAGACTAGCAGAGATTGTTGAGGAAGAGGAGAGGGCAGCCTAGCAGAGATTGTTGAGGAAGAGGAGAGGGCAGGCTAGCAGAGATTGTTGAGGAAGAGGAGAGGGCAGGCTATCAGAGATTGTTGAGGAAGAGGAGAGGGCAGGCTAGCAGAGATTGTTGAGGAAGAGGAGAGGGTAGGCTAGCAGAGATTGTTGAGGAAGAGGAGAGGGCAGGCTAGCAGGAGATTTGTTGAGGGAAGAGGAGAGGGCAGGCTAGCAGGGATTGTTATGAGGAAGAGGACAGGGGCAGACTAGCAGAGATTGTTGAGGAAGAGGATGAGGCAGCCTAGTAGAGACTAGTTGAGGAAGAGGAGAGTGGCAGGTTAGCAGAGATTGTTGAGGAAGATGAGAGGGCAGACTGAGCAGAGATTAAGCTGAGGAAGAGGAGAGGGGTAGGTTCTAAGCAGAGATTGTTGAGGAAGAGAAGAGGGCAGGCTATCAGAGATTGTTGAGGAAGAGGAGAGGGCAGGCTAGCAGAGACTGTTGAGGAATAGGAGAGGGCAGGCTAGCAGAGATTGTTGAGGAAGAGGAGAGGGCAGGCTAGCAGAGATTGTTGAGCAAGAAGAGAGGGCAGGCTAGCAGATACCATTGGGGACACGTACAGCATTCTTTTTCTTGTTTCGGTAAAGTCAACGAGTCATGAACGAGATCCCGATGGCGGTCCCGATGCAGACGTAGATAGCAAGCACCAGCTCGCAACGCCAAAATAGAAGGCATGGAGCGAGATAGTGAGGAGAGAGAGAGAGAGAGAGAGAGAGAGAGAATTTTATCCTCCCTCCGAACCTTTTCAAACAAGAGCAGCAACGGCTTCTCCAGCACCAGCCGCGCCGACGTGACGCTGCCCGGCTCGACGCTACAAAGGGCAGAATAAAGAACTATTCGAAACCGATTTCAAATCGATATAAAATTGTTTCAATTTCAGGAAAATATCCAATTTTGTTATAACCTTAAAACCCGATTCAGGAAATATCCAATTTTCATATAACCTACTTAAAATTCCATCAAAAATTTAATTATTCATAAAAATTTTGAAAAATAAACAAATGCGAAAAAATGCTTTGTAAAATCCTACCATCTGGCCCAGCAGATGGCGAGCACGTTTAGCAAAATTTGCCACTGGATGAAGCGGAGGGCAGCCCACCAGGCGAAACTGGAAAGATGAGATTTCGATTTCTTTTGCACTATGGGGGGAGGCGGCTTTTTTGCGCCATTAAATTAATTTTAATATCGTAATTAATAAAATTGAGGTATAAAACTTGAAGTCAAAAACCATCTAAAAAACCTTAATAATATTTAAAAATTCGAAATTATGGTCGAAAAATCGAAATTTTCTGTTAGAAAAATATGCAAGTTTTTAGGTTTAATATCAAGGATACAATTTTTTAAACAGAAATAGCGGAAGTATTTTAAAAAGCTTTTACAATTCTTAAACATGAAAACTTTGCCAATTTTTATGGAAAAATCAGAAATGTAGGTGTTTCGACCAAATCTTGGACCTTTTTGAATTATTTATTAAAGTGTTAAAAATTTTATAATAGTTTGTAGTTGAAAAATAGTTTTTTTGGCACTACCACTATTGAAACCATTTCTACTAACTTACCAGACATGTCTAGACATATACAAAAATTCAGTCCCCGGATGATGCCAAAGATCCATATAACAAATAATAAGCATTAATAACAAAAGAAGCTTTAATAACGGTAAATTAAAACTTACGGGCTCTCGGTGAGCCCCCAGAAGTCGTTGTAGATGATGTACTCGAGAGGCAGGATCACTAAAAATTGCGTTTTCGGGAGCAGCTAGGCAAATTCTTACAGACGGTCAGCACGCAGACGCAGCGCACGATGGCGAACAGCTTGGAGCAGACTGCAAAAAAACTGATTTGAATATCGACTCGGAAAAAAAAACAAAATTTCCATAAAATCGTCACTGAAAAACCAACCGTTTTCCATCGGGATTGGCGTTTTTGTGGCGAGGACGGGTCAACAATTGCGTGATTATGCAAACCCAAATTGCCCGAGTATTGAAATTTCGAGAAACATTTTTTCGCCCGACCGCGCCCGAATGTTTCTTTTTGCAAGTTTAATCGTGTTTTTGCTAAAATTTCATAGATTTCAAGTGGAAACGCTTAATAAAATAAAAAAAGAATTATCCACATTTTATTTTGGTGCTTTTGCAGTATCAGGGGGCGTCGCCAAATTGGGGGGCGGGTGAATTTTTTGGAAGTAAGCAACAACGTAAAATAAAATATTTTAATTGTTGTAGAAAAATTTATTCATTGTTTAAGCACCAAAACTATCCAAAAAATCGCAGAAAATCCACATTTTTCGATTTTTAGCAAAAACTTTGAAAATTTTTGCGTATCGTGATACTAAAAATAAATAATTTTAGCTTAATCAAAAGTGTCTAAAAGGTGGTGTGGCAGTGTTAGTTAGTTTTAATGGTATAGCCACTTCAAAATTTAAATCGGCACAGTTTAAAATCAATCAAATATGCATTTCCTGTTCTTCGACGTAATTAGCATCTGGTCCTGCGTTTAAAAGGAAAAATCCCGGGCGTAGAGACCCATTTTCTTAGTTCAACTTATTCCTTTGTAGCGCATCGTTTCTGGGTGAGTTTTTTGGCGATTAAAAATCCAAACCGTATACAGGTGCATCGCGGAACAAATGGGATGTACGCTATCGAAGAAGCATCGAGCCAACCCGATCGACGAGAACGCCAATCGATCCGTAAGCTGTTGAACCGGGGGAAGCTACGCCTAAGCCTAGCTAAGCCTCCGCTACATAAGCTAGGCCTAAGCTAGGCCTAAGCTTCCAAGCTGCCAAGCTAAGCTTCTAGGTAAGCCTAAGTCCTAAGCCCAAACTAAACCTAAGCTAAGCCTAAGCTCAGCCTAAGCCAGCCCAAGCCTAAGTTTGAGCTTCAAGCGTCAGCTTAAGCTAAGCCCAAGCTTAAACGTAAGCTCAGGCCGAGCCTTTGCCTAGCTAAGCTAGCCCAAACTTAGCATAAGCTAACCCTAAGCTGCCTACGCGTAAGCCTAAGCTTATTAGCCAAACCTAGCCGAAGCCTTAGCTTTTTTGTTGCAGAGCAGCTCGTCGAAGAAGGTGCTGGAGATGAAACCGTCGGACACTAGCAGCGCCGCGGACGCACCAATGGCCATCATGAGGAGGGCGAGGAGGAGGCGTTCGTCCCGGCCTATCACGTACGGTATCATAGCTTTGCGGGCTCTGGACTGTTAGCGGAGAGCCAAGCACTTTTTGCTGAACACCAGATCCTCCCCCCTGCAGCCGACCTCATTTACTGTATCTCGGTTCCCTGTCCTACTACAGGTGTGTAAAGTATACCCAAAATGTCTGTCTTGCTGTGTCGAGCATTTTCGTATATTTTACACACCTGTAGATGAACAGGGAGCCGAGATACAAAGGTTGGATGGCGGCTGGGGGGAGGGGTTATCTGGAGTCTTACCCACTTGATTAATAGAGCTTATGCCTGCCTAGTAATTAATGAGAATATGTTTTAACAATGTTGATAGTGATTTCCGAGCACCCAAACACTATTCATCCGTCGGTTTACTTGCATGAAAATTCGATGTTTTTGAACAGTTTTGGTAGTTTTCATCCGTTTTTGACCAAAACGAGCGTTTTCTAAACTTTTCTACTTTTATTTAGGGTCCTGGTACCGTGTAAAATTCTACGACAATTATAGAAATTACGGAAGCACAACAAAATATCTGAAAATTTTTTCACATCTTAAAAAATGCAAAAAATTCCCAATTTTGGTCAAGAATTCGTATTTTGTATTTCTGAGGTAAAGATCATAGTTTTTGCTCGTAGAATTTGCAAAGAAAAGTTAATAAACACTGTGGTATTTATATTAGAAAGATGGAAAAGGAAAACAAAGCCGACAGCTTCGATTCGGCCTATTAGCGCCAGAATTTCCCAAGTGTTTATACATTTTCGAGCAACACCTCTTTTATATAGGCAGCGCAGCCAGCGGAACGGCAGCAGCAGCGGGCGCAAAGTGGTCCCCCGGCCCGGCACGCAGACCATCGATCGCAATCTGTAAGCCCAGCTGTCCTAAGCCTAACCTTAGCCTAACCGAAGCCGAGCCGTTTTCACTCCCCCATTAAAACACCCCTTTTCAGTCGACGCCACCGTCGTGAGGTACCGACCGCGCCGCGCAGCGCCAGCCTGCAGCAGCGCCCCGTCGCCGAAGCAGCCGCTCGCCCCCTTCTCGCCCACATCAACAACAAGACGCCCACCGTCGCCGCGGCCAAGAAGCCGCTGGTACGGTAGTTGGGGACGTGGCTTAGCATTCGTCGTGGCTCAGAAATTTCATGATTCAAAAAGCTTCAATTCCTAAATTTTTTGAAAATTTTTACTGAAATTTTATTCCGGCAATCAGAGCATTCAAAAATTGGTTCTTTCGCATCATCGGGGATACCATTCTGGCCTAAAGATTCAATTTTTCAGATATCAATAGAGGAAGTGTTTCTAAATTGTTTTTTACGGTTCCAAAACGTAAATACTTTACACATTTTTCTTGAAGATTTATATCTGGTTTTGAGCAATATTTCAGCTTAAATATCTTAAGAATTTTGAATGTTTCTAAAACATCAAAGCTTCGAGAATTTCGTGCATCTTCAATTACAGCAAGTTTCTGGCTTGTGTTTAAAAATTTTTAGAAACCTGGGCTAAACTACAGCCTTCCCGAAACATGTTCTTTTCACCAAATCATCTTTTTGCAGGAATCGGTGAGCCTGGTGCCGGCCGGGCACGGCCATTCGCAGGAGAGCCAGAAGGTACGGGAGCAGCAGCACCAGCAGAAGCCGGATGGAACAGGGTCGGGTACATCGAAGAAGGCCCCGCCATCTGTCGACGATATCAGCAGAAAGAGGAAGGCCCACCATCAGCAGGCCGTTCAACCGCAGCCGGCGGTGGTCGTGGCCCCTCCGCCTCCTCTGCCCGCTCAAGCTCCTCCTCCGCAGCGGGCCCCGCCTCGCATCCCGTCCATCACCAACCAGGAGGAGTGTGGGTTTTTGCCCCAGGAGAGAGAGAGGGAGCGATAGAGAAAGAGAGAGAGAGAGAGAGAGAGAGAGAGAGAGAGAAAGAGAAAGAGAGCGAGAGCGTAAGAGAGATAGGGAGAGAGAATCAGAGATAGCGAGACAGAGAGAGAGCGAGAGAGAGAAAGAGAAAAAGAGAAAGAGAGATAGAGAGAAAGAGCGAGAGAGAGAGAGAGAGAGAGAGAGAGAGAGAGAGAGAGAGAGAGAGAGAGAAATAGAGCGAGAGCGAGAAATTCAACTTCCTTAGTGCGTGCCCACGGCTCCCCGCAGCGCCAGCCGCCTCATCTGATGACCCCCCGGCACCAGACCCACGCTTCCCCGCAGAAAGGTAAAAATTCGGAGCTTTTGCATTATCGGGGGAGCGGGATTTTTATAAAAGTTCAGCAATGTCTAAAAACGTACAAGTAAGTGTTTTAATGTTTTTATCCGGAAATTAATGATGTTTAAAGTGAAAACCCTCTAAAAAATTTGAAATTTTTAAAATTTGGAAAATTAAGATGGGAAATCTATATTTTTGATTTGTGAATAAATTCTCCACATATTCAGCAAAATCAAATACTAAAGACCCCCCCCCCGCTAATGCTATACTACCGAAAAATCCCTGATAAGCGTATGGCTTTATTGACAACAACTCGTTACCTTACTGGCTAACAATTCAATGCATAGGCTTCGGATGCGAGAAATCCGAAAAATTAGGGCGTAAATTGCCTGTTAATGTTGCTGAACAGTTGTAACATATTTTTTCAAAAAAACTTTTGAATTGCTTTTTACTTAGCCGGTTTACAGTGTTTATGCAAATTGCAGAGCGCCGCCAGCGTGGCAGCGAACCGCGGCAGCAGCAGCCGGCCGCACCTCCCAATCAGCCGCCAATCGCCGCCGTGCTGCCGATGCCCCCCTGCCACCAGGGACCCATTTCCGATGGTTCGTTTCGTTCCTATTTACATAAAATGTTCATTAGTAAATTTTTGGACATCTTTAAAATAATTATTTTAAATTCGAAAATTTGACGTTTTTCATTTCCTTAAATTTTTTATCGGCGAAAAATGGTTTTCCCGCTAAAAATCCAGCCCCCTCCCCGCTAACAGTTCAGTAGCCGGAATTTTTGATTCCTATTCGACTTATTAAATCATTTATAAAAGGTTCTACAGTTGTGAAAATGGATTAAGTGCAGTTTACCCCCCCCCTCCGCCGACCCCGTCCCTGTTCATCTACAGGTGTGTAAAGTATGCTAAAATACACGCCAGAGCAAGACGAACATTTTGGTATACTTTACACACCTGTAGATGAACAGGGAGCCGAGATACACTAGTTCGAAGCTGGCTGGGCGGGGGGTAGACTGCACTCTAACCGTGAAAATTCCTGAAATTAACGTGTGTCTACTAATGCTGAAGGGGCAAAATCTACGGAACATAACATTGGAAAGAGGAAGATTATGTAGAGGATGAAAAAGCTTTGTCCGTGTGGCTGGCCGGAGTGCCTCGCCGGCCCCTTTAAACCGGACCGAATTTTTTGTGGGCGTTTCAGTGTTCCCTCCCGAGAACGTGGACGACGTCGCCGAGCGGCAGCGCATCGAGCGCAACATCCAGGAGCGCATCCAGGCTCGGTAGGTTTTATTGATTAGCTTGTATATTTTTATGAAGCGTTTCTAAACTGTTTTTCAGTATCCTTGAGCGTAGCAAATTTCTTTTAAAACATACAAAAAATAGAAATAGACTTTTTTTGCAAAAAGCTTCGCTTTTTGACCAAAATTTTAATGTTTAAAATTGTGCTGGTATTTTGGAACGGTTTTGCGCTTGAAATTTGGCCAGATTTATCAAGCGCACCACTAGCGTATTTGTTGTTACGTTACAAGGAACAAGAAAGAATTTTTAAATTAACTCCAGGTTTATACACTGCTATTTTTATAAAAAAATTAGTAAAAATTAATTTCAACTTGGTGTTCTGTTGAATTACTAATTTTTGGAATGCGCCAGGTTAGTTTTTACGCGAAACATTTATTCCGTGTAACATAAGTCTTTATTTTTTTGGCAGCCTCGGTCACGAATTGAAAAAGTCACCGCTCCAAAATTGTTTAGTTTTTTGCGAAACATATTTTCATACCATTACATTTCCAGTCAACGCCTGCGCCACCACTACCCGATCGACCCCGAGGAGGACACGCTGTACGAGGTGAGCCAGGCTTCTTTTTATACCTAACGATAATTTTATTCTTTGACTAGCTTTTTGACGTCTTTAAAGCACATCATAGGGTGCTTTTGCATTAGCGGGGGGGGGGACAAATTTTTTGATTCTGGTTCCATTTTTTAATATAAAGTGAGGATGTGTTTCTAAACTGTTTTTTACTGTCCCTAAATGTAGAAACTTTACCAATTTTTGGGCAAAGACGCAAAAAAAACGATGTTTCGAAGAAAAATGACCAATTTCCGAACCGTAATATCTCATTATCCAAGCGTCGATATTTGCTTCGGACTTGAAATATAGCTAAATCTTTTTGCTAAAAATACAATTAAAACGTTACTAGCGTTTTCTGGAATCGTAGAAAAAAAATTAGTTGCTCCCCCTCCCCCCGATAATGCCAAAGAACCGCTTAGGAAATTCAATTTTCGGGTTTTTTTGAACATTAGGCATTAAGTAGATTATGTTACACGGCATAAAAAAAGCAAAAAAAATAAATTCATAAATATTAAAATCAGTGCGATGCAAAAAAAAATTAAATATTGAAAGTAGTTTTAAATATTGAAACAACAAATTTGAAAAAACTATTTTTTTTTTCTCCAATTTTGTCGTACTTGCAGGTGCCGCCGCGGATGCCGGAGATCAACCTGATGCACTGTTAGGTGTTTTTGAAGGGCACGGTAGACGCGGGATTTCCCACTTTCAGCCGGTGCTGCCCCTGACCACCACGATGATGATGGCGACAAGAAAGGTGCTGCTGCCCTCTAGCTGTGCCCTGGCCACGCCCCCCTTTTGCCCCTCATCTACCACATCATTGTCGTCATGGTCATGCTCATCTACCGCCCGCTCCCTTCCTCTACTCGCCGCGTCTACCCCCAAAAACAAACGTAATACACCTATTTACGATTATGGGTACTGGATTTTTAGCGGGGGGGGAGGGGTTGGAACGTAATTTTTTGACTAGAGGAATACAAACGTATGAAAGCATTTTATAAAGATTAAATAGATGCAAAAAGCATAGAGCATCTTTGATATTGGAAAGTAAAAATTTGTGGATTTACAACAGTTTTTGAAACATTTTTTCAAAGCACAGGTTTTAGAAACTTAGTAGCAGTTAAAAACTCCTATTAACGCCATTAAAATACAAGATATACAATTTTTAAAGGTGAAACGCAAAAAAAATATAATTGAGCTGCCCCCCCGCTAAGAGTCCAGTACCAAAAATAAATTTGATATTTTTCTTGTTTTCTTTTTTTTCAAAAATAAAATTTTGGCCACCGGCAAATGTCATCGCGCCTAAAATAAATTCTACAACTGGATTCCTTAAAACATACGAATTTTTGCAGGATCTGTGCCCCTGCCCCCGTTCTTCAACGCCCCCTACATCATTACCAAGACGTTCATCGTCCCTCATTTAACCATGCTAATATGACGGCGTGTGTGTTGATGTGACCCCATGATTATTGTAATTATTTATATCCGTCCAGCGTTGTGATTACCTTTTCTTGTGCTCTGTATTTCTGGGAACAAGTCAAATGAATAAATGGTCGTTTCGGGTGGACAATCTCTGCTAGCCTGCCCTCTCCTCTTCCTCAACAATCTCTGCTAGCCTGCCCTCTCCTCTTCCTCAACAATCTCTGCTAGCCTGCCCTCTCCTCTTCCTCAACAATCTCTGCTAGCCTGCCCTCTCCTCTTCCTCAACAATCTCTGCTAGCCTGCCTTCTCCTCTTCCTCAACAATCTCTGCTAGCCTGCCCTCTCCTCTTCCTCAACAATCTCTGCTAGCCTGCCCTCTCCTCTTCCTCAACAATCTCTGCTAGCCTGCCCTCTCCTCTTCCTCAACAATCTCTGCTAGCCTGCCCTCTCCTCTTCCTCAACAATCTCTGCTAGCCTGCCCTCTCCTCTTCCTCAACAATCTCTGCTAGCCTACCCTCTGCTCTTCCTCAACAATCTCTGCTAGCCTGCCCTCTCCTCTTCCTCTGCCCCTGATGCGCTAAATACGGCTGGAAAACGGGATTAAGGAAAAGAGAAATCAATAATGAATCAGCTTCTTCGGCGCACTACCATTGTGGATTTTTGGTGATTTCGATGGTTTCCTGAAACATCGTTTTGCACTTCTTTAATTGTTGCTTCTTCGCTGGCCAAAACACAGGCCTTTATGTTTTAGTAATGGGATTTTCATAAATACCCAGTATTCGAAAAATAACCAAGGCTTTTCTACTATTTTTTTCTCGATCTCTACTATAATTTCCGCGATGATCCTGGAGACGTTTTTCCGTGAATGTGGTGAAAAGAACCGGTTATTTAGAACCAGAATTCCGTGTGCATTTGCGCCGTCTGTTGGTTTGTCTATTTCTATGTCTGTCTGTCTGTCTGTATGCCTTCCAGAATTTCCTGTCCATTTCCGGCGTGCGACGCCCTGGCGGCGGGGGCATTTCCCTTTCTTGGTTTTTCAATGGATGTTCGTTTTCTGTGTTTGTTTGTTTGTCTGTCTGTCTCTCTCTGTCTCTCCTCTCTCCCACGCTACATTTTCCAACCAGTTTCCCTGCCAGAAAAATCCCCCAAAACAACCTGGCCGGCTGGCGAAATCATTGATTATTTATATTTCTGTGATTTATATCTTTTTTTTGATAAATTTTGATTAGAGTAAGTTTCAAAAAAATATCAGGTAGTTTCATAGGTGCCAAAAAATAATTTTTCTCTAGCCTAAATTGTTATTTTTATCATTCATTTCTCACATTTTAACGTTTCATGTCACAGTATAGACTAGAAGCAGAAAGGAAATTACTTAAAACAACAAAAAAACTTATCAAAAAATAGTAAAACACATTTTTTTAATCGTTACTTTGCGTACTTAATTAGTATAATATGTTGTATATTTTATAGATGTTCACTTTGAAAGCGCATCTTTAGGTGCTTTCGTATTATCGGGGGGAGATACTTGTTTATAAAAAAAAATTATTAAAAAAATATGGGTTTTTCTACCAAAATGGCCAATTCAAGTAATAGATTTCGTGAATTCTTGAATATCGGTTTAAAACTCACTATTTTTAATGAATTTAAATAACGATTAAAAATAGCAGGATTTGGCGCAGTTGTATGCTCGTCGTAATATTATTGGTAAGATTAGAAAAAATAACTTAAAAAATCTAGAAGCTAAAAAAATCCACGATCTCTCAACATTTCCCCATCAGGGCCATGTGATCTGTCCTGGGTGGGGGTTTATCTTTTCCGCGACAATACGCCCCCGTACAATTCATAGAGGGGGGTAGGGGCTCGCGGGGGGAGACGGTTGACTGGAGCGCGAGCCGGGGAGCACGAGCCGGCCGGACAGCGCCGACGACGAATATCGATTCGCTCGCCCTCAGATCTATCTTTTCCTCCATTTCTTCTAGAAATCTGGTTATAGAATCTTTTTTAATAAAATATGAAATATAAAAAGAAAAAAATAGATTACGTCTTTTATGTACGCCATAAAAAAGCGTAACCTAATTTTGCAACCAGGCAAAATGCATTGAACCAAAAAATTCGTTGTTGCGCATTATCGATAGGAATTTTTCTGATTTTAATGATACAACTTTTAAATATAAATAAATGAAGTGTTCCTAAGCTGTTTTTTTAACAACTTAGAAACGTAAAAACCTTGGACATTTTTATTAAAAGTAACTTTTAGAAAGCAAGGAAAAATCCAAGCAAAATGGAAAAACGGGACTTAATTGACTTTTACTTCAAACAATATATGTTTTAAGAAAAAACCTAAAAGAAAATATTCCAGAACGAATCAATCTCCATCACTCAATTTGCTCAATTGTAACAATTTTCTGGAAAAATCTCGACAATTTTTATAGGAAATGGAGACACTCGTCTCGCAGAACCCGTACCAGAAGCTGTACAACAAGAATGTGCCCCAGATCCGGCTGATCGACCCTGATGGGGATAGCCATGCTCAGGTGGGTTTTTGCATGTTTTGAAGGGACGTCAACAGGCCATTTCTTTAAAAATCACTGATTTAAGACGTTGAAGAAGCCTAGAAATTGCTTAAAAATTTTAGTTTTGATCTTTGCTTAAGTTAAAAAGAACATGTTTTGCCGATATGCCTATTTTGGGAACTGTTTTTCCGGAATAATGTGTGTATTTTTTTTGGTCCTGGCACTTTCGGCGTCCTGAAATGCTAAAAAGTTAAAACTACAAAAACACCCTCTGTTAGCGCCTAATTAAAATACCGTAAAACGAGTTTTTTTACTAGTTTTCCCAAGATTATTATACCCAGCTGGTTATGCTCCGATAATCTCTGAAAAGTGACGGCACCCTAAAACGCTGCAAAGGACAAACCTGGCACGGTTCAGATGGCTTTTAAAAATGTGTCTCAAGATTTAGGGGCCGTGTTGCTTTTTAGCAGGCTTTAATGCACGACCCATCGGGAGTTAAAAAGTATGAATATTGAACTTCTATGAAATTAATGCGAAAATTAAGATATTCTCCGTCTCTCTCTCACTCTCTCTCGCTCTCTCTCCCTCTCCTTCAATTTAAATTTAAAAGACGCCAGAATCAGAAAGCTAAGCCCAAAATATCGAGTCCAGCGGGGTACATACAGTTTGGGCGGGCAAATAAAATATCTCTCTGTCTGTCTCTCTCTCTTCTCTCGCTCTCTATCTCTCTCTCTCTCTCTCCCTCTCTCTCTCTATCTCTGACTTCAATCTGTATGTCCAGCCCCAATATTTGGCACCCTCTCGGTCTCAGCTCCCCCCTCCCGACCCGACGACGTCATTTTTCGGCCGACCGGGCGAACGGCGCCCCTTCTTTCTTTCTCTTTCTCTCTCTCTCTCTCTCTCTCTCTCTCTCTCGCTCTCTGCGAATCTCTTTTCGGGTCCCCTCTCTCTGTCTCTCTACGTGAAGAACGGAAATGATAGCGCCAGCCAGCCACCTTCCCCTTGTGGAAATCCACGTTTCTTTTTTTGATCGGCCTAGGTCACGATATTTTTAGCGAAAATTTAATGCTATAGCTTTTTCATTTGTAGTAACACTATGAAGAATTATTCCAACCAACCAAAACCCACAACGACATCACTCGCGCATCCAACTAAATTATCAAACTTTTGTCGCTTAGGATGATTAGCTGAAACCCGCAATTTTTCACAGGCTGTTCGACTTGCTATCAGGAATACGCCACAATTAGCATCCAAATATGTTTTACAAAATTGGACAAATTTGGTGAGCCGTTCGATGGTTATATTTTCCCGATATCGCTACATCGCTACGAAACACTAATTTTCTGGCGTACAGGCAGCATGATTTTAGACGACTTTGCATATACATAGCTGCGTTGCTAATAGAGAGATATAGGAGCTATCTAGTATTAAATAGACCTAAGAAGGCAGCAAACTTTAAAAAAATTGTAAGCCTTTTTCCAAAAGACGATGCCTAATTGAGTAGCTGCGATATTCAAGAATACCTTATTTATACGAACCACTGTTATATTAAATTTTATTAAATTATATTATTTTTTTGGAGCAACGAAACGCGTTTTTTAACGATTCCAAATTTCGTATGAAATCAAGCGGTTAATTTCACAATGAGCTAGCAAGCTGACGAAATACTCTTCTGGAGATATTGTTCTTACAAACTTTACACAGATAACTTTCCGGAGATATTGTAGGTAATCCCAAACGCTACCATTTAGTAGCCATTTCCGTCCTTTGAAAGTACCAACAAACCACACCGGCAGATCTTGAAAGTTTTTTTGTACGAAATACCATATTTTACGCAACATACGAATTTCGCGTCTATTCCCAAAATCTCAGGCAAAATATTTTTGAAATTTACGAAGCACGGGATTTTCTGGCCCGTAATTAGTAAACCTGAACTACTACAGACGTTCGCGCAGCTTGTCCACCCATTTAGGTCCTAGTTGTAAAATTAGATGAGGTGCTCGAATACTTGCTCCCACTGCGACAATCTATTTTTCCGGATAAACCATTTTTTGCGAAACATATAAATTATTGAAATTCGGTCAGGACCTTATGAAAAGATGCTGAATTTTTGCAATTAGAATATTGAAAAAACAAAGGTTTTTCCGCTCCCGTCAATTCAATAAAAGTAAACCTTAACTCTTAAAGGCGCATGGGCGGAGCCTCGATCACTTTAAATTAGGAATGTAAATGTACTAGCATTGTGAAAATCAATTTTCCCGAAAAATCAATTTGTACGAAACATAAATTTTCAATAATCCCTCGAAGATTTTATACAATGAAATTCTATTTTGTACGGGATTTCGCGAAACATACTTGTTTCGCGAACACCATTATTTTTCCAGAATTGCGCCTAGCTTATCGTTTTACTTTTAAATTTATAGATATCGTGTTGTCTGTAAAAGTCTCGTGTTGTCCAATATTTATTACAGGAAATACCATTTTGCCCGAAACGCCTTAATTTTCAACAAACCCTCAAATCTTATGCAATAAAGCCTGGGTTGAGGGTGCCGTTTAGGGGCTGCACAGAGACGCCGAGGGGGCCGGAAAAGAACGACGTAGGGGGTGAGAGGGTAGGCAGAGACTGAGTGAAGTGAAGCCCCCACTCCCCTGGCGCTCCATCCTCCAATTGACTCCCCCCTCAGCGGGCCCGTTGGGTTCAGCCTGGGCCATTTTGGGCTTAAAATCACCTAAGAAACTGGATACCCTATTTAAATCGTTACTAAGTAGTATAAATTAATGATAAGACTTAACTTTATTGATTGATATTGATTGAATTATCGATTTGCGAGGGCTTATCCATGTTCAGGGTAAGAAAATATCTTCAGGATCTTAATAAGCATTGATGGTTTTGAGATTGGAACTGGCGTGTTTCACGTTATTTCTATGTAGCGTTGTGTAGAAATTTGTGAATCCTGGTCAGATCAAGATTATAATGGTACTAAAGTCATAATTAAGCGCATTAATGGAACGACGTTTCTGATCAGTAATTTTGACGATTTTTGTAGAGTGAAGCTTTGAAGACTAGATTATAGGGCAAAGAGTTCTCAGCTAGTCTGATTTTGATGAAACCTATATTTTCCACGCGCCTTAAAGAGGCCCTTTTCTGTTGGTTTTTGATTTAACGCATACCGTATTCCAAAAGTCACAATTATGCGCATTAATGGAATAAAGTTTAATATTGACCGTTTTAGCTTGTTACGGTATTGGTGTATTTGTATTGTGTTTGTTCTTTTTGCCGTAATATTTAACTTAATACAATTTTATTGCCTCCAAATTTGTGGAATTTGACGCTATAAAGCTGCAGACCACGACTGAGCCCGATAGGTCAAAACTGCTTTGAATGTGGCACCAAAAGTTTTCGCTGTAAATTTCACGAAACACCTAGTTTTTTGGAAAATTTTCCAGGGGTTTTTATAGGTTCCAAGGTAGCTTTAAAGCCAGATTCCCTTAATTTTAAGATTTTTCTGTAATAAAAATGTTCTAAAATTTCTTAATATCTAACAACAAAATATCTAATAACGATACCCTTCCAGCCGCCCGACGCTCCGCCGACGCGCCGCGGGCCGCTCAGCAAACAGGTAGGTTTTTAACGGTAACGTTTATAATTTATGTCATGTTATCTAAAATACGAGAATAGGCTCTAAAATTCATCTGAAAAATTAAACTAGAGACATACAAATCGCGGCTTTTATAAAAGCAACCCGGAAAAAATTTATTCGAAAATTTTTGAGAATTTAATGTTTCGTAAAAATTAGACCGCAAGGAAAATCAAAACGTTTGTAATCGAAGCTTCATCAGTTTTTAATTTTTTCAGAAATCGATCTCGTGCGAGGTGCTGCACGCGACGCCAGCCATCGCCATGGGGGATGGCCAAGGTTTGTAAAATTCGCTTTAAAAGAAACATATTCAAAAATTCCTTTCCTTTCGGATTTACACCTGAGCCAAGAACTTTTAGAAAATCAGATAAAATATGTTTTGTCGGGATTGGTTTTATTGGATTAATGGACCCAAGCCAAGAACGTCTACGAAGTCAGATAAAACATATTTTTTGGTCAAAAATTTTAGTATGTGGATTGGTGCCCGTTTTTAGATCCACCAATCCCGATCGTCGAAAACAATTAAATGCTTTTTAATAGAGGTCAAGATCATCGCATTCTAATTTTGTCAGGACGGCCGAACCTAAAGACGCCCGTCAGCCGGCAGACCGCCTACGTCAATCTACCCAAAACGACGCCGAAACGCCCCGGGTCGGCAAAGAGTTACGGTACGTCAATTAAAATTTTAATTAGGCTCAAGGATTAATCTATAGCTAGGAGAGGCATTAATCAGTCAAAAATTTGATGTTGGGCACGGAAAGCCTGAAACTTAATTTCTTTGGATTTTCGATAATTTTTCCAGAGCCTGATTTTAAATATGTTTTTCCAGAGAAATTTAATGAAATTGACTAAGACCCCTCCCCCCCCCCGATAATGCAAAAGAACCATCAGTAAAATTTATTTTATTACAGGAAATGAGGGCGACTCGTCTGGGGGCCCGTCACCGATCTCGGCCCGATCCACGCCGAGGCCGAGCCACGAGAGTGATTGTGATGTGACGGATAATGAAAGTGAGTTTCTCGGAAGACAAAGCTTAAGCCTAAGCCTAAGCCTAACCAAGACAAGCCCGAGCCTAAGGCTAAGCCAAGTCTAAGCTAGCATACAAAATTTAATTGGACCTCAGTATTAATTTTTGAATTAAAACATCGATGAAACACACTTTTTCAGCGCTCGAAGTCCGATTCCGCGAGCCAGCCGAGTATGAAGAGGCGGCCGGGCCAAGCGAGGTAAGAATTAATATAAAAAATAACCAGGGTTGAAAAGCCGCTTCGCGTCTTTTCAACCCTGGCCCCCGTCTAGCGTCATAATATGCTTCATTTTGCATAATTCTCGCGAATTCCGATGACAAAAAAAAATGAAAATCTCTCCCTCCGGCCATTACATAGGCTCGCGCCATTTCCGGCATATGCTAATTAATTCCTAACAAAGTGGGTGCTCCATTTTCTAACAAAAACTTAATTTTAACGGCGAAAATAGCATAATTTGCAAAATCTGATGTGTGTGCAGTCATCTCAGCGCCATTACGCACCTAATGACGTATCATACGTTGCTTAAAACCCTTTCCCTCTCGAGATATCCTCCGGACACCCTGACGGAAGTCGCATGCAAAGTGGCACACACACACACAAACACACAGACACTATTTTTTTATATATAGTAGGATATTAATGCCTAATATCCTTACGAGTTTTATCAACAACATTTGTTTATTCAGATGTACGACGTGCTGAACGACTACCAGGCGGCCAACGACGACGAGCTGTCGCTCCGCCACGGATCCGTTGTGCGGCTAGTGTCGAGAAAGACGTAAGTTAAATTTAGCTTCTAATTATAAAACCAAATTAATAGTCGAATTGAGCACTTTCTTAAAATTGTTGATTGTTGATCAGGCCATTTTCCTCCCGGTTTTGACCTGTCAATGATGAAACACATTTTTGCAAAATCACGAAAAACATTTCGCTTGCTTAAATTTCATTACTAGGTACCCAAAATAATCTTAACACCAGTTTTGCATTGCAGATTAATTTATTTAATTGGTAATTTAAAAAAATAGCACGACTTTTAATTTGCTGCTTAACGCAGCATTTAATAGCATGATTTTTAATTACCACCTTCGAATTTCAAATTTTTATGGTTGATCCTGAAAAATCGAAAGACGAAAAACCGAAGTCTATTCGAGCGTTGCCCTCTCTTTTTTGACCTACCAAAGACGAAACACTTGTTTTTAGCGTGCAGTCGCCATTATATCGGAAAATATATCGGAAGGCTAAAATGATCTGAAAGTATCGACCAAAATCAAGTTCCTTTTAGTGGCGAAAGCGAGTGGTTCGTCGGTGAATACCACGGGAGGCGGGGCTTATTTCCGGTCACCCACGTGCGATTGCTTGGCGTGGAGGCCCCAATTGTAAGTATTGTTAAATGCATGCTTTCGTTAAAATTAGAATAGCATAAATATTTAAAAATAGGCAAAAAACTGCATCTTTCAAAAATAAGTTTCAAAAAATTTCTGGGCTTTGGGCGGCAAGTGTTCTCGAATCGGCACGGTGTTTCATTATGAAAGAATGGGAAGACTCATAAACAGTGCCAACAATTTTAATATCTCTATTTTTCAATTATTTAATCAAGAATTTTGATTTAATTTTAAATGTCTTTTGGTGAAAATAAACATAACTTTATCGAAATCCACTCTATGTTAATCGAATTTCAGATCGAAGCTCAAGATATCAGGCGAAATGGTTCGATCGGCTGGGGAACGTTTGCCAACGTTTTTCGGGCCCAACTGAGGAGGAATGTGAGTTTTTAAGAAAGAGCTCACTCTCTCCCTCTCTCTCTCTCTCTCCCTCTCTCTCTCTCTCTCTCTCTCTCTCTGTCACTCTCTCTCTCTCTCTCTCTCTCTCTCAAAATAGGCATTCATTTCCAGGGCAATTGGATGAATGTTGCATTCAAACAGCCGAAGAACATGAACACCAAGGGCGTCATGGAGGGTAGGCTTGTACCGCTTAAATCTGGATTATACAAAGCAATTAAAAAGTTTTAAGTGGGTTGTATAGACGACTCTAAATTTTTTAAATTAGTAATTGACATTATTTAAAAATTTGTTATTTGTGCTGTTCTTACCAGCGAAAAAAATGCAATGCTAAAAATAATCAATGCCACCTATCAAGCCATACCATCAATACCAACGTTTTCCAAAAAAAATGCAAAATTGATGTTTCACTTAATCTCAGACTGAATTGATTTCGCGTAAAATTAATGTGTTTTTTCTGACGATGTCGATCTCTAAAAATACAAACCTTTACGTGTTCATTTAACGTCGATCTGAATTAAGTTCGAGTAAATCGAATATCGGGGTCGTAGATTTGGTCCCAAAAAGAGGGAAAATAATTAGAATTTTGAACGAATAAATAAATTCTAATTTGTTTAAAACATTGGTTACAAAATTGATAACTTTGATTAAAGCCTTTTATTTTGCCATCCTTGCCATCAAAAAATTGATATGCGATGCTAAAAATTCTGAAATTTTAAAATCCAAAAATTTTGAAAAATTTCTATGTTTCGTTTAATTTAAGGCTAAACATTTTGCGGAGATGTGATAGTTCCGGACTGCTTCCAGATCTCTCAAAGTAAAAAAATAATTTTATATTAATAATATAATATTAATGTTATTAAATAATAATATTGTTTAATTAAAAATCATTACAAATCTTTGCAGACATGAAGCGCGAGGCCGTGATGTTCCACCGCTTCTCGCACCCGAACGTCGTCAAGCTGCACGGCATCTGCCTGGACACCGGCTTCGAGGGGTTGCTGTTGGAATTGTGTGAAGGTGGGTGCTTGGTTTTATATCTAAAAATTGCCTTAATTGGTTTTTAAATATTAGCATATTTGAATTACCTAAAATGTCGAAATTGATAATGTCGGTATTCAGAATGTCGAAATGTCAGGACGTTGAAGTTCTTTGCATTCCTGGGTTCTCCGGGGGATTCGCTTGCGAAAATTTCGAAACACTGAATTTCCACATCAGTAAATTTCGATATTTTGAAAGCAGCCTTGAATTAACAAACAAATCACGGTGCCGAAATATGGCGGAATTTTTTGCATTCGTGGATTTTCCGGGGAATTCACGTGTGGAAATTTCGAAACACTGAATTTCGACATCACGAAGTTTCGGCATTCTGAAATTGCGACATTATGCTTTTTGACATTGGGATTTTCGACATTTTAAAAGCGACCCGTATTTAACATACAAAGCTCTTATTATGTGAGGCACGATTACAAAAAAATAATAAAAAAATGAAAATCTAAGCGACAGTAATGCAAAAATCGAACATTTTTGATGCCGATGGGTTTTCTTATCACTACTAATTAATAAGATATTCTGGAATTTCTTGTTATTTTTTTGTCATGAAACATGTTTTTGAAAAATTTTTATTAAGTTTTTTGGTGCTGAATTTACGACCGTATTTGCGCAGATTCGAACTTGCCATATCCGTTAAAATGATACCTTACCTATTTTTTTCCAGGGAACACCCTGGCCCAGGTGCTGCAGAAGTTCTCCAGTGTGGCGATGGGTGCCGGAGTGGTGGTGGGGTGGGGGGCGCAAATAGCCTCTGCCATGTCCCATTTGGTCGAGCACGGCTGTGTGCATCGCGATCTGAAGGCCGATAATGGTGAGTGCAGATTTTTACTTCCGGTGGTTTTAAAGGGACCGGGACAGCTGCAAAAACTCAAAATATGCATAAAATAATAGCCCGAACAAATTAAAGGGATTCTGCGACTTTACTGATCCCAAAAATTAGCATGAATCCGCCCGAAAAAACGCTTCAGCGGATGCAAATTAGCTTACGTGGGGTTCAGAAGAACGCTGCTCTCCCCGTTTTTTTGCCAAGCGTAACCGTTTGGAATTTTGCCAATTATCGATGTGCGCTGATAAAAATGGGCCGTCCTTATAAGAATAGAATTAGCATAGTTAGCCGGAATACCGACAGCCAAAATGCCGACGGCCAAAATGCCGACATTCAAAATGGACACCCATAATAGCTGGGAAAAATCAAATGGTACCGATATTTTGGCTACCTTTATTTGGAATTTCGTTATTTCGGCTGCCGGCATTGTGGCTGTCGGCATTTTGGCTTTGTACCAAAAAAAGATGGGATGACAATCGGCACTCTAAAGGGACCGGCAAGACAAGCCTACGGATTTTTGGCTTTGTGGACAATAATTTCCGGATTCCTCCTTTTTATTTCGACCGATCCGGCTTCGGAAATGTTTCAAGAAATCACCCACCGGTCTCGGATTTAAGGGCCACAATAAGTTTCGAGCAGATTGAAGTTTCAAAATGGAAAACACCTAGAAAAGACGCATCTGGGTACGGATCCATCAAAGCTATATATCCTTGCTTTCGTGTGTGATTTTTCTGAAACATATCGCTGTGAAAATAAAAACAACTAAACTGCCTAAAACACGAATAAAATCACCAAATTTTCAGTATTGGTGAAGGAACCGGTGTGCAAGTGTATCCTGAGAAGCCCGGCTTCAACGCCGACTGGGGATCCGACCAAGGTAATTGGGTTTTTAATGATGCGTAATTACAAACAGTTTCAAACGGCAAATGTGATGACTTTTTGCTAAAACATTCAATTATTTTGGGTAGATTTTTAACCACAAAAAGTATTAAGAAAGTTTAAAAAAAAGCCTGAAATAATTTCTGCAACTCTGCGAAATGCAATATCGCTAATTCCGCTGGAAAAGATTCTGAATTAATATTCGAAATCCTTTTGTATTACAAACTTTTTATAAAACATTACCTTTTTAGTCCGGCCGATGCTCGATCTGTGAAGGGTACCCGCTTCGCGATCTCACCCTCAAAATCACCGATTTCGGACTCACCCGCGAGGCCAGCGATGATAGGCAAGGATTTTGCGAATTGATGGTTTTTTAAGTAATGATTTTTTAACAGGAGCTACCGAAAAATTAATTAACTATGCCCTACTTTATCAATTTCAAAGGATGAAACACATTTTTTTAACTGGTTAAGCACTGGCTTTTGGGATTTTTAAGCAAATAAGCAAGCATTAGATAGAGAAACAGAAGCTAAGTTTGAGCGGGCTAGCAGGGATTCTTTGTTGATTCGCAAAATTATTTTACTGGATTTTTCTAATACAGTTTGTTCTTTTCCCCATTTCCTTGGATTTTGGGAAGCAGATTTAGACTATTCGGAAAATACGGTAAAACTTGTTAAATTTTTGGGGCTGAAACACATTTGTTAAACTAATTAGTGACTAATATTAAAATTTTTGGTGAACCGATAAAGCATTTGTAAAATCCGGGCAGACGAGCAGGGCTTCTTTGCGGATGTCTCTGTGAACATTGTCTTGATTACCGAAATAAGATCGCTCTTATAACGTTGCAAGGACGAAACATCTTTTTAAAATTCAGAAATAACGTAATTGGTTAGAGGAGTTTAAAAAAATCTGGGCAGGCTTGCAGGGATTCTTTGCGGACTTACCGTTAGATTAAATTGTATTACTGAATTCCATTCCATTAATTCCATTGGTAAATAAAACAGAACAGTAAAAAGCATGAACCAAACTGAATTTAGACAATCGATGGCCGGCGGAACGGAAGCGTGGATGGCCCCCGAGGCCTATATGCACCGCCAATATTCCGAGGTAGTGTAGTGCTTTTAATTAAATTGCTGATTTTTTTGGGAAAAGCTCACGTCAGTAGTGAAGGTAAGAGAGGGATCTTGATAGTGCTCTATTTGCTGATACCATATTTTTAATTATATCTGAAACAAACATTTTTGAGTGCGATTTATAGCAATTCACAAAATTAAATTCAGGTATTAAAAAAGTTTTCAGTTTTTTTAGTAAATTTGGTAAGTAAAGTAGTAAGTAAAGTTTTTTGGTAATATATCTTTAATTATACTTGAAACAAAGATTTTTGGAAAAATATATAAACAGTTTACATCCGCATGAATATAGCTGAGATACTAAAACATAAACTAGGTGCAGAAGATATATAGTAAAAAAAAATGTGTTTTGTAGGCGTCTGACATCTGGTCGTTCGGCATCGTGCTCTGGGAGCTGCTGACGCGAAAAGTCCCGTTTGAGGGATACGAGTCGGTGTTCGTCGCGTACAGTGTAAGTCCTTAAAATTTATACTAACTTTAATACGTTTAATACGTATTTAAATTGGCGTTTTTCGATCCCTATGTGAATCATCACCTACGAAAAAAATTTGCCAAACGATCACGACTGCCGAATTTCGTGTTTCAAAAAAATTTAGTTTTGAAATTGCGAACAATTAAAGTAATTCCTTTCTTCTGATGACTTTATTTTCGCAGGATCTGGGATGGTGGAGCGCTATTTTTATTAAGATGCTAATCCTATAAACCGTATTGTATAGCGTTTTTAGTAGTTTTTGATTGCCACGAAGTGATAAAAACATTTTAAAAGCTATGAAAATTTCATTATTTCGATATATAGTCAGTTTTCATACATTTTTGAACGAAAATCCAAAACTTGCCGAGATTTCCAGATTTTTATGAGCGTTTACATCTAAAAATTGTGTAAAATGCTATGAAAAAAATTTATTTTTCGCTGTTGGCCATACGGAAGCACCGGAATAAAATTGCCCCCCCGCTAACAGTCAATTGCCATTTTTCCAGGTGGCCACGATGGGGCTGCGGCCTCCGATCAGCAAGGAGTGGCCCGACATGTTGAAGTCGATTTTGCAAAGGTATTTTACAACAATTAACAATTGTAAATTGTTTAAAAAGGTGTGTTGTTTTGTGAAGTAATATAATTTCATTGATCTGAATTAATATTTTTAAACGGCGTCGCCATAATCATCATTCAATCATTCCAAATTTTTTCGAAAAGCTCTTTTTTGAAACATCATAATTGTAGATTAATCAAAAATTCGCTAGCTCCGCTTCAAATCTCGGATTTAAATTTTAATAATTTAATAAATAAAATTAGTCAAGATAAAATCAACAAATTTTAATCTCCGTTTTAAAAGCTTCTATTGGCGATAAAATTGGTAACTTTAGCCTCCATTAAACTTCATTCTTTTTAAAAATACGGTACCTTATCAAAATGCCTTACCTCAAGTCAAAGCTCAACAAAAGAAAGTTGCGATTTGTAAGACTCGAACGAGCATGTTTCATCAAAATTTCCTTATCGAAAAATTACTAAAAATCACTTTATGAGTACAAGCTGGTATTTTGGTCCGGTATATCCTAATTTTCAGCTGCTGGCAAGACACGGCCTCGGAGCGGCCAAAGTTCACCGAGGTGCTGAAGCAGCTCAACGAGCTCAAGGTGGACCTGGCGGTACGTTTTTTAGTCGATTCTAAGGGGGTTGAAAGGGCGCCAATCTTCAGATTATATAACACTAACATTGATTCAATGTTATAAAGATTAAAGGGTGAAATTAACAAATAGAAATTGAAGTAGAAAAAATTACAGTTTTGTGTGTCGGTCATTAAATTAGTCAGGAGAAATTTGATAAAACTAAATATTTCTTGAATGACAGTTCTGGAATTGTAAGGTTTAAGCTCACTAATATCGTTAATATTATCCATGTTAAAAAGCTAAGCAAATTAACATCAAAAATATGTAGAAAATACCCAAGATGGCGTTCCGATGGTTAATTTGAAGGGTAGATGAAGGAGGAAAAATTCGATAAAATTAAATGTTTCTTGAATGCCCATAAAGAAAGCCTTTTGAGATATTGTCAATTAAGCCCTTCATGATGCGAGAAAAATAAATTTTGAAAAAGGTATATTCGGTCCTAATCCTCTGCTTCAAAAATATTAAAAAGTTACATTAACAGAGAAAATTGAAAAAATTTACAAGCTTGTGTTTCGATCGTTAGAGTGAAGGTGTATTTAGAATGAAAAATTCGCTAAAATTAAATGTTTCTGAAATACGAATAATAAAAGGGCATAGAGATATTGCCAATTGTTATGAGGATTTTGAAAAAAGCTTAAATAAATTTTGAAAAAGGTATATTCGGGCCTAATTCCCGGTTTTAGCGCGAAGAACGCGAGGAGCAAGTGGGGCTGATCAGCGAGATCGCCGGCATCATCCGCCAAAATCAAATCATCGCCGACCCCGCCGAGCTCGAGCAGTACGTTTTTTTATGTAAAGAATGCCCATATTGAAGTAAAAACTCAATTTGTAAAACATCAAGGCACGACGAAATTAATTATGCAAGAAGGACCAGAAAGTATTAAAAATTTGAAACATTTTTGGGGACAAAAGAGACGGTTTTCTCAAAGCATCTCCTGAAATCTTTTGCGTTATCGGGGGGACTGAGCTTTTTGTCTGTCTAGAAAAATTTCAAAGAAGGTGTTTCTATAGCGTTTTTAGCAATATTTTACTAAATTTAAATTAGAAAAGCCATCTAAAAACTTTAAAAAATGTTGAAAAACAAGGCGAAATTTTGGTAAAAAATCGGCCTATTTTTGTCGAAAAACTGGTGTTTTCTATATTACTTTTTAGTTGTGAAGGTTTTCACGCTTAAGAATAATATAAAAGCATTTAGTAACACTTCCACGATTTCTATTTGAAAAATTAGCTCCCCAAGAAAAAGTTGTTCCCCCCCTCCCGCGATAATGCGAAAGAACGTTTGACCCTCCTAAAAATTAATTTCTCATCTAAAAACATTACAAAATGTTACAAAAATAAGGAATGACGGAAATCTGTTAATCCGAATTCATAAGGCATAAAATTTGCCTAAATTTTCAGGTTCCGCCGAATGTACGAGGAGCTGTCGTCGAGCCAGCCGAAGAAGGTGGGTCGTTAATCGAGCTTATTTATATATTAATATAGATGGAACAATTCTTTTTCTTTTTCAAGCTTGCATCGATTTTTTTCCATATTTAATCAATTTCTAAAAATATCCTTCGAAAAACGGCCTCACTTCCAATCATTAGAAAAAAGATGTTTCAAAGAAAAGGTGATCGATATCGCAAATTTTTTACAGATTCTCTGATGATTTAGATGCTTCGATTTTCAGTTCCAATTCCAAAAAATTGTTTAGCAAGCCGCCCCGCTGGTGCCCCGTCGCACGACGCTGCGCCGGAAGGAGGACAAGAAGAAGGAGAAGAAGCCCAAATTCAACAAGGAGGACATCGGACAGCCCCAAGGTAATGACGGAGAAACTAGGATTTTATCCGGATACAAAGTTAGGAATTTGATCTCGACTCCTATTTACGAGTCAAATTCGGAGAAAAATTGTGTTTCATCTACAATGCTAGCTAGTAGTATATGCAATTACCTAATCCACCCCTTCGCACTTCCATTTTTATCGACCGTTGGGGCTAGAGATGGAGATAGAGAGAGGGGGGAGGGAGAGAGAGATAGTGAGAGAGAGAGAGAGAGAGAGACTGCTAGAATCACAAACAAAATGTTTCGAAATTTCTGCGGGCCGCGAATATGTCTCGGCTTTCATTATCTTAGTGATACATTCTTGCATCAATTTTCCAAAGCTTGCGAAATCCACAAATGAATAAACTCAATATTAATTCCAACATTCGCCATTGCGTTTTTTCAAAATATTTGAGGATCAGTGTGTTTCAGGATCAGCTAAAATTAAAAATCCTTCTGGCCACTTATTGCAGTCCATTTACTGTTTAGTTCCAAAATAGCCCACCGTGTCATGGACTTTTTATAGATATTTTATTTTACGTTACAAGGTTTATTCGTAAAAAATCGCCAATGCTAAATTGACCAAAGGTTTCAAAAAAATCTTAAAATTCAGAAAAAGTTTAATGACTAATTTGGCAAATAAAGGCATTGCAAAACGCACCACATCTGGTGGTCTATAGGCTGGTGGCAGCGGCGCTGTACGAACACTGCCCGATTGCGCTGCACGCAATTATCCCCCACATTGGGTTTGTCGGCGGCGTGATTGTCTCGAGTTTTTGGGTGTTTATTGGAATTTTGAAGCTAAATGGTGTGGCCCATTCGATAGAGCAATAAATTCTATTCTTTCCTCATGCTGAATAAATTTTTAAGCGATGCCACTAGCCCAAAAAAATGAAAAACATTATTTTTAAAGAGCAATCCTCTTAAAAATCGTAGAAATTTATTTTTTGCTCTATCGAATTAGATACCTTACACTTCTATAATTCCAATAACACCGGAAAACGGCTCCAATTTCCGAAAAATTTTTGATACTTGCACCCTGAAAAGTCGTGTGTTTCGTGAAAATTTGTGAAAAGAGCACTTCTGTCTCTTCTAATATCTTTAACTTTGGCATCATTGGAAAACGCATACATTTTCCGATACTTATTTCTTGTAATTTAAATGCAAACGTTCTTTTTCTAATTTTTAATGGTCTGTAAGTTAAATTAATTTAAAAATTCGTATAATTTTGATCATTCCAAAGCCGATAGCCTTTTTAAATCCCATAAGGCTAAGAATTCCGAAAAAAATGAAAACATTTAATGCCTTTTTACATATTTTTGTAAGAAAATCTGTTTTTAACGGCCACAAATACCCTAAAAATCAATATTGCAGATTTCACGCATCTGGCGCACGTGAGCGCCGAGCATTTGGGTCCGTCCAGCAGTCGGCAATACGAGATTGATTGTGAGTTTTCGAAACTCGAAAAAATTTATACAAACAAGGCTCGTTAGTTTTGAAATTTGCTTAACTTTATTTTTGGTTCTTCCCAAAATGTGTTTCAAAGAAAATGCCACATCTCGTCATTTTGTTGTGTCGCATTATATTCATAATCATTCAAATAAAAAATTCTGAATTACCATAGCTTCGGCGCTACCGTAGCCACCGTAATTTTTTGTGTGTCGTATCGCCTATAGCTTTCTCTAAAATTCCAGAAATTCCCCGGCGATACCGTAGCCCACCGCAATTTTGTTGTGTCGTATCCTAATATATATGGCGTTCTTAAAATCATATTAGCTTGAAGTACCGTAGCTCCGGCCCAACCGTAGCCTACAGTAATTGTCGTTGTTTCGTATCGTATATAGCTTTCTTAAAATCATATTATTTTGAATTACCGTAACTCCGGCCATACCGTAGCCCACCGTAATTTGTTGTTTCATCTTTAGCTTTCTGAAAGTTATATTAGATCAAATTACCATACCTTCGACTCTACCCTAGCCTACCGTAACCCCATCGTCACGTGTCGTCATTTCAGTTCCGCGAATCGGCGAGCCGCGCGATGGGTCCCATTTTGGCACGTTGCCAAGGAAGCTGATCAGCGGTGCCTCGGATAGCGCGCTGCAATCCGCGAGATACACCTCGAGCCCGAATCTGAACGGTGTGACCCCACTGGGTGAACGTGTCGGAGGCGGCGCCACCCCGCTGCTGCCCACCTCCGCCCAGACGCCCCTCGCCCGAAAGAATGCCATCAAAAAGCACAAGAAGCCGAGCGAGGACTTTGATGGTGTGTTTGTGGTTGTGAAAGTTAGAAAATGGAAGTTTTGTGTAAAAAGTGTTTCAAAATTTATTAAAGATCAAAAAATTCTCGGAAAGTTTTTCCGGATAATCCTGTGCACTCTTCCTCTAAAAATACACCCGGTTAGGAAGCCATGTTTCAAGAATTTCGAAAAAATGGACTATTTTTATACGGCACTATTCGATGTTCGCATTTGATTATAAAATTATAGATTGGCAAATAAAAATCGAATTAGTTCCATTAAATTAAATTATTAGAATTACCATTTTCAGGTCCCGATGGCATTTTCCAGAGCCTGGGCATCTCGTCGCCGAAACCCATCAAGGTTTGTTGATACGCTACTTTGTCAAAAGAAATATTTTTACCTGGCATTTGTAAAAAAAAACGAAATTTCCCTTTATAAGCTACCACTCAATGATGCCCATCATCTTGCAAAAGATTTTTGGGATTTGGTAAACGACTGAAACATCTCAAATTTTTTCAGGCAAAAGACAAGCGTACGAGCCAGGAGGGCGGCGTGCTGTCGTGGATCCGTGACTTTGTGGTAAGGCCGGTGGGTTATGGTATGAATAATGGTTAAAAAATTAAAGTATCAAAATTAAACCTTTTTACCACAATTTTTATCACTGTATTTTATTCTTACCAAAAACGCAAAAAATTATTTATATTGATTTTTTGAGTGTTTCTTATAAACTACCAGCTCGATTTTTGCTGCGCCTAATCAAACAGGTCAAAAATTTATATTTTAGACTGTTAAATTACTATAAAAGAACTAAAAAGTTATAAAACATTCGAATTTTAGCGCCGCTCGTCACGCCAGGAGTCCGAAGATAAGGATGAAAACTCACCGTAAGTGCTCTATATTATTCCCTATGTAATAATAAAAATTAAAAACTAGCGGTAAAAAGCTTAAAATATAAATTTGCTAAATTCCGAAAGTCTGTTTTTTTTAGTGCTCGAATAACATTAATTTTCTATTTGCATGGAATCCTGAAAATCGTTCGCAAAAATGTTTTTAAATTAATCGTGAATAAAACCTCTCTTGTGGCCATTCATTGTGAATGAAGTTGAGCCTAATTTAAGTAACGGACGGGCACCATCGGAATCATCGGAAAATCGTACCCATCTACCATTGCCGACGCGCGGGGCGTTTAGCCCGGTGACGCCCATAAAGGTATGTTTCAAAACAATACAAAACCCGTGCAGTCAAAGCCCATTTTACTGTGCGAACTATCGGTTTTGCAATCTTTTGAGACATCCAATTGTGATAAAAATTTTTATTAAGCGACATCTCATGAATTACTGCCGCTTCGCTGACCATCTTACTTATTCTTACCTCACAACATTGTATTTTTCAGTCGGGCCCCCGACCTCGTGGAAAATCGATGAATGACGAGGAGATGCACAGCCTTCGACCGCACCGACACCCTAATATTATTGCACCCACCGAGCGGACAGCGTAGGTTTCACTGAACTTATGAGTTTTTGGAAAATGGGGAAGGAGAGCAGGCCGGCAGGGATTATTTGGGAATCAGAGTGAGCGCGAGCGAGAAGAGACGGAGAGGATGAGTCATGTAGAGAGAGAGAGCGAGAGAGAGAGGCAGAGAGAGCGAGAGAGAGAGAGGTAGAGAGAGGGTGAGAGAGAGAGGTAGAGAGAGCGAGAGAGAGCGAGAGAGAGGTAGAGAGCGAGGGTGAGAGAGAGTTTGCGTAAAAGAATAGTATATACAAATTTTGTATCATACAATCGGACTAGGCTGTTATCGGGGGGAGGATTTTTTTTTTGGATTTTGGAAAGTATCAAAAAATTTTTAACATTTTTGAAAATTCGAAATTTGGACTTTTTTGGTTATTTTTCAAACATTTTTACGAAAATTATCGAAATCTATAAATTTTTAAAATCTTTAATTGATTTTAAAAATTATAGTTTTCAAAAAAAAATAAAGGCTCGGTTCCCCCCGCTAAATGCCCAGAACCATACAATTAATAGTGACGTATAAAAATAGATGGTCAACTAGCCGTGATTTTTGAGGAATCCAGCACCCTATTTCCAGCCACTTCGTCAAGCATCCCTCCTCGAACAACCATTCCCCAGCCCCTCCAGCCCGTCCACAGTTCCCCAGCGGAATGAAGCGGAGCCCGTTGGAACCGCGAATGGACGACGAGATACCCCGAACACCGCCAGACGCCCTGAATGGCATCTACGAGCAGCACTATGTTCACGATCCATTCCCATTCAGGGAGCGCTCACACCCCAGCACAAGTATGTTTCAGGATTTATAGGGCAAGGCCGAGAAAAGTTGAAGATAGTCACCGTATGGCCTGCTTTGGTACACCACAAAATTTTAAAAATTTTCAAAGTCCCGTCGACAATGGTTCTTGAGCATTATCGGGGGGTCTATAAGTACAGAAATTAAAAAATTAAAAATACTGGTTTCCTAAGTGATTAAATAGGGATTTTAATAAAACGTAACTGTATTTTAAGTAGAAATACATCTAAAAAATTCATCTTAAGGATTTTAAATTACATTCAATTCAATTTTAATTTAATTTAGTTTCTAAAATCTTCTCTTCTAAAATCTAAACTCGACCTTTGAGCGGAACATTTTATATTTTTTGTAGTTTTTAATGAAAAATAGCCAAAGACAAGGCTTCTTTTTCTAGATGAATACTATTTCATCTAATAAATCAAAACAAATATACGAATAAAAACATTTTACAAACTTAGGCATTTTGGTCGAAAGTCGGCCTTTTTAGCGGAGCAATCGATACATTTTTTGATTTTGAATAAAAATTAGTCAAATTCAAGGCTTCTTTTTCTAGATGAATTGATGAATCACTTTTCAGGCAACGGTGACCTAAACCCGGGCTACTGCCAGCTCATCAACAAACCGATCGTCGACGCGGCCGGACACCGTGAATATGGGTGGAGCCTTGATCAGAAAATCCCCGTCTCCAACTCCCATCCAAAGGCGGTGGGTTAAAATTTAAATTAAACAGACTTCAAATATTGCTAGCAAAAAGGATAGTCAAAAAGAATAAAAAAAATACATAAAAATGTTCGAAAATGGAATTAATGTGGATTTCAAAAAGCTCCATCTTTACTGTAGTTTGAAACATTTTTCTGGGTTTGACATGAGAAGCAAAAAAATTCGGTGAATAGCTGTAAAAACCCCCAATCTATAAAAATCGCTTCATATATTTTTTTACTTATTCTGAATTCATTTTTGCAGATCTCCCCGCTGGACGAGGCAATCCCATGCCAAATCGGCTTCCGCAGCGCCTGCTCCACCACCAGCACCACGATCTCGGTTAGTGCAAAAAGAGAGTTTCAGGGAGAGGACTACACCTTAAAAAATTATATTTATTAATAGGCCGTCCTAATTTCTTGAGGAAAAGTTTGCGATTCCAATTCCAGTTAGAGTAGAGTTTTCACATTTCTAAATGTAGACATTAACATTAGAATAATTCCAATTTTAAGTAGATAACCAAAAATATAGAATTTTCGACAAAAATTTCAACTTTAAAATACTGCAAGTTCGGAGGTTTTTCAAGGATTGGAAATATGTTTAAATTTCGCTTTCACAAGATAAAAATCACATTAGGTTACTAGGCATTTCTGGCATAATAATAAAAAGCCGCCCCCCCCGATAATGCGAAAGCACCAGCGATTCGGCTGGTTTTGAAAACAAAGTTAGCTTCCCGGCCCCTTTAAACCTTTCAAACGCATCTAATCATCTAAAAAAACCATTTCAGTCGCAAAACCCGAACGCGTACACGCAGCTGAAGAACTACCATGCGGTTGTGGCACCGCCCGGTTCCGGATCGGCCTCACCTCAACCCGTTCCCCGGACCAGCACCCCAGCCCAATCCCCGCTGCTGGTAAGTTGCCTTAACTTATAAAACTTAATATTAATATTAATTAATACATACGGATTAAGAACACGGATTTTAATGAAATTAATTACCGTTCACAAAATATCTTTCTATCTCAACTTAGTATAGCATTTTCAGCCAATCCGGAAGAAAGGTCAATTTTTGGGTAAAAATCGATCAGAAGCTTTCTTATTTTCGGCTTCTTCACCGCTAAATGGCCTTATTTTGCCGGAATTGCCACCCTAAAAACTTCGTTGAATAAAATAATTTCTCCATTTGTCTGCTTCCTCGTTTTTGAAACATTTCATTTTATTTGGGGGCGCTAGAATGTTTTGTTAAAGCGGGAAGCTGGGTTTGAGTTTTCTTAGTTTTGGCTAATTTTTCGGCAAAATTTTAGGCGTTGAAGCGAGCGGTGATTCTTAGGGATATTTCTAACGTTTACCCCAGATTTAAAATTTTGCAAAAGCTAACCTTGCGCTTTTCAGGGAACCCCGCCCGGCTTTGACGCGCCCCCGCCGCCGGAGGCGCTGAAGAAAGCTAAGGAGGAGGAGGAGAAAAAGAAGGAGGAAGCCAAAAAGGCTGACGAAGCTGAACAACAAAACGAAGAGGCAGGAGCTGTACAACAGGAGGAGCAAGGGAAAGAGAAGGAAGCTGACGAGGCGCACGGGTCGCCGGCGCCCATCAAGAAGGCGCCCTGCGTCCCGCCACGACGCCCATCGACGGAAGGCCGTGATATTTTCCGGACCCTGCAATTTACGGTGAGGAAAAGCTGGCTAGTTGATCGTACTTTCTCAAAGCTTGTAAATCAAGCTTCAAACTGACGCTGTCTAGCTAAAATTGCGCCGTTTTCTACGTGTTTAGCGTGCATTTTACCATGTAAAGACAAAATCTACAGCTTTTAAAACGAGACGATAAGTTTCTAGAAGCTCCCCGCCCCGGCACCATCGTCCGAAAAGCCGGAACGTCCGGCCACGCTCGACCTGGCGGTAACCCCCGGTGAATCTGGAATCAGGTATGTTAAACACAGTTAAAGATTACAAATCGAAATTGTCAATTAGAAAATTAACTACGAATAAGATTCAGCAAAAACCCACCTCTACTTACGAAACAATTTATGAACTATCGACAGAAATTACCAAACAGAATTCCAAGCAAAACAGGCCACAAGGAACATTAATATAGTAAAAAGCTATTCGTTAAACGCATTAAAACATGAAACATGCTTTTTATAGCAGCAAAACCGACAACAAAAAAAATGTTTTTATGATTACTCATAGATACATCATTTTTATAAAAATCTGACCTTGTTAAACGAACCTTTTCAGCACTGCCGGCAGCTCGTTGCCGTCCAGCTCGCACTCTCTCCCTCTTGGCCAATCGCGAAGCACCACGGTCCCCGTCGAGTTTTGATTCCGACGCCCAACTCGTCGAAAAGTTGCTTCAATAACGTCTAAAATGACAGCCCCGCTTCAACCCTCAAAACTTCGAAAAACCTCGTAAAGCTTCTCAACTTCCCCATTTCCGTAAGCTGGCTGGCCACCCGTTTCCCCTATTTTAGTGTATATAGTTTTCATTTTTTGTCGTCTAGTAATGGCATGTTTGGTGTCATTATGCCCGTTGTCATTACCTAAACTCTCTACTGCCCAAAGCGAGGGCAGATCTAACCAGATGTCGGGGAATACCTGAATTTTTATCTAGGTTTTTCTGCAAAAAAATCGAAATCTAACCTGCCCTTGCTAAAGATTAGTTTTTATTTGAGCCTTTTTTGGATTTTTCCTTCCTCGCTTGTGCTTTGCCGTGCTCTACTATCGTTGTCTACTCGATTCCGCCGCCCAAGGATATTTCGCTTGCCCCCCAAAAAAACATCCCCCGCAAGCCCTACGGTTTTGCACTTTTCCGCGCGTTGTTTGGCAGTTATGCCGGGGAGTTGGAAAGTGTTGAAAGCGAGTTCTTTAGCAATACTAACGGAAACCAACTTCGTTCCTTCCGGATCGATTTTGCGAAGCTGTTAATACCAAAAAAAAATAGCCCTACGAGACTATTTGTACAGTCTAAACCTAAAAACCTGAAAAATTCTCATGATAATTCCAAAACCGGGCTTTTTTTGCCAAAATCGTTTCGAAAAACGTCGGTTTCCAAATCCTACCCATCATCGCGCATTCTCAGCTTCTTGTTCCTTGAAAAAAAAAAGTTTAGTCGAAACCCCGATTGTGCCTTATCGCAATTCTAAAGTCTAAATGCCAATGCCCCCCGCTGATTTACGCAATCCTTGCATTTCCTATTTCTTCGACTACAGCCCAAAAATCACCCACAATCCCTAGTCCCAAAGCCTGTCCCCCACCATTGGCCTTTACAATGTGTATATAGGCCCCCCCGTGAGCCTCCGTTTTGCAAGAAGCGCCGGTCGATAGTAAACGTAGGCCACATTGCGCCGGCTGCCGAATCGATCGGTTGCTTCGCCGTCTTTCTCGTTGCGTTTTATCGTTTTGGGGTAATAAACTGTTCATACACATAAAAAACACGAGACGATACGTCAGAGAATCCACAATTTATCGTTTTATTCCACACATACATACACAGATTGCAATCCACAAAAAATGCACAATGCGGAGCGCGAGGTCGCACAAGTGATGCTCGGCTCAGGGGCTCCAGAGGACCACGGGAAGCCGTTGCCTGAAAAAAATAAAGTAGAACAAAAATAAAAACAACGCTTACATGCGGGGTTCGGCAGTGATGGGAATCATAGAGCTAATTGGTGGCACTTTATCATAGGCATTGGTGTTAGCTGAATGAGCGAAACCGTTGAAAGCTAATGTAATCGGCTTACAGATAGTTGGGACGCAGTCGTAGACGTTGGAATTGAGGGGGCACGCGGTCGTAGACAGCGGAATTGGACGGGATGAGATCGTAGAGCGTGGACTTGGGCGGGACGTGGTCGTAGACATTGTTAGGCGCTAAAATCAGAGCCATCTCCGTTTTCGGAATAGGAAAAGGTACGGCAAGCCGAAGACTCACTGGGCTTTTGGTTTTTCTCAAAATTTGGACGTGGTTGTTCGAGCGGGTCCAGCGGGTCGGTGTCCCAATCGCTATCCCAGCTGATCAAGTGCTAAAATGGCCTAGATGGTCGCAAAACACGAGATACCTTATCCTCAACAGCCTCGTCGCGCGCAGTCTCCATTTGGCCCGTGACTTTGTCTAGCCGCATCTAGGTAAAAAGTTTAAATTTTTTCAGGATCCTCACCTTGCCCTGATTCGGCGTCACGCATTCCGCACCAATACTCTTGCGGCGCCCAGCACGACGCGCCGAGTTCTTCGCCGATTTGTGATTGCTTGAGGTGATCGACTTGCGGCGAGTGTGGCGCGTGAACCTAGTTTTGAACTAGAAAAAGAAGCTAGAATCCGAGCAATAAAAAGCGTCTTACCGGCAATAGGTTTAGCGAATCCTTGACCACCCCCAAGATTGCGTGCGCATTCTCCCGAATCTGGAGGGGAATATTAGGATAATCAAGCGCAAAATAGCCATACCTGCGCTTTGAAGCGGGTGTCTTCGATGCGCGCTTGGCCTTCAAATCTATTCTCCAGAGAGAAGCCCTTGTTCAGATTATCCAGTTGCTCATCGATAAACTAAAGAAAGGCTTTATCGGATATGGCAAGAAAAAAAGCGTACCCGCTCGAAATACTGCGCGCCGTCACGACCGACAAGAGCTTCCAAGAACGGACGAACACTGCTGGGTTGTTCGGCGATGAACCGCTCACTGTTCCAGGAAAATGTCTAAAAAATTACTGGCGAGTCTCAAGACGAAAACTACCTTCCCGGCCGGCTCGAACACAAGACCCTCCTTGAAGCCGCTGAAGAGCTGGGAATTGGCGCGCAAGAAGATACGCGAGAAGCGATCGCCTGCTTTGGTCACCGCTTTCAGCTTTTCCTTCAGATATGCTGTCAGCGGCTCGGGTAGATGGTTAACATCGTTGTGTGAGCCGTTTAGCGTCTTGGTGTCCAAATCGATTACCATCACATCACCGATCTCGCGCAGCGTCTGAATTTGAAAAATCAAAGTTGGCATAAATGCATCATACCTCCATCGAGAAATTGCGCTTGGGGACGCCGATCAGGTAAGGCATAGGCGCATGCAGCATCTCGATAAGTGAGGCCGGAAGAATTGGAATCAACAGCGATTGCCTAAAGTTAAAATTTGAGCTATCGACATCAAAATACCAGTGCATAGGGAAGAGTAGGGTGCTGGCAGCCATAACACAGCTGCTCACTTGCGATAGGTGCGAGCCGGTGAAGATGATGCGACGCTCCTTTAGTAGGCTGAAAAAAACTAGAATATTTTCGAAAGGAACCGAATTTTACTTAGAGAAAATTAATTTCTTAATATCTTTATAAAAGAATTTGTAGTTCGCGGTTTAGGGATAGTAAAAAAACGGTGAAAATATTGCCTCAATTTTTATTAGAAAATCCGACCGGAAAGATAATCAAACGGCCAACTTTTACCTAGAGTAAAGCGCAATCAGCTGCATCGGCGGCATCGTGTTGCAAAACTCGAGCAGGCATAGATTTTCGTCCAGTCGTGGAAGTTGATCCCAATGCGGCGCGTTCAATCGGAGAGGCTAAAAATGTGGAAGTCCGGGATAAAAAAAGAAAAGGTACCTTGCCCATATCAAGCTTAACACAGGCACCAGGAACCGGGACCTGATGGCAGTAGAGTTCCGAGAGGATCACGTCACACTTTTGTTTCTGGAAAATGACTTCAATGACTGAAAAAAGGGGAGTTACATCATTTCGCTCCATTGACTGCGAGAGGTGGGCGAGCACACTTTCGAAGAAGCCATCCCAGGGTAGCGCACTAAAAAGAGGAATTCTTTCTGCTTGCTGCCAAGAAATGGTACTATTCGAGTTCGAGTGGTTAACGTTGGGATGACTTTCAAGCCTGCTCACAAGATTAAAAAAAAATAGCTTGGGTGAGCTTGACAATAGGCTAGTTTTTGGAAAAGAAAACAGCAAAATCGCGTGGCAAGAAATCAGCCACCTAAAATTACCTAACAAAAATGATCGTGCGGTCGCTTCGGGGCAGCGTACGGCAGTACCCAAATGTGTATTGAGACCGCGAATCCGTCAAAGTAAAGCAAAACGACTCGGCCGGGCCTCCGCTATAAAAATTTGATTAGTGAACGGCTGAAAAAAACGGACTTGTTCCCCGGACATGGGTCGGCAAACTGCAGGACCGACTTGATCACTGCGGCATTGTTAAAATCCTAAAAGAAAAATTTAACCAATCGCTACACCACACCTCGGGATACTTTTGTAGCAACGTTGGCTCTTCGCCTTTCGCTCGAATCACGCAAAAGACGTCGAAAATCGTGACGGGTGTGCTAAACACGACAATTTCCAAAACACACAGAACCCTTACCGAAGGCGTGAATTCCCAGCAATCATTTACCAATAGTTAGTGCGACGAGTAGTTAGTTGAGCTGAAAGGGAAGTGGGAATTTGTGAGAGTCCATAGCAGAAACCGCTTGAAAGAGCAGAGAATGACTGGGTGGAACGAAGGGGGCGAATGTTTCGGGGAGGAGGCGTCGAAAACAATTACGAATAGTTCCTTTCGTGCAAAAAAAAACATAAAATTAAAATTATATAAAATACTGTAGTAGTAGACAAAGTATCAAAAAGAATTAAAAAAAACAATTTCAGAAGTTTTTTCTACAAAAATGGTTTGAACTTTAGAAGAAGGAAAGAAAAGGTCAATCGGACCCGAAAAATGAACGCGTGAGGACAAATTACGGATCCTACCGTATTTTCGTTCCGAGACCCCAGTGGTCAGATCGGGTGCCAGTGGTTTTGTCAGTTGCACCTTTTTCTCTGCGCTCGCCGAGCGTACATTTTTTTCAAACGTTCTTTCCTTTCCAATTTTCCACGTTGTTCATGTTCATTTTTCAGATACTGAATCATGGCCGATCAGAAGTCGGAGTTCATCGAGAGGGCTAAGCTCGCGGAGCAGGTGCGTTGCTTTTCACTCTTTCATTTTGTTTGCTTTTCGTGATATTCATTCTTTTAGGCCGAGCGCTACGAGGACATGGCCAAGGTCATGAAGGAGGTCGTCGAGCTTGGCGAGGAGCTGGAGCTGGAAAGTCGAAACCTCTTCTCGGTCGCCTACAAGAACGTGGTCGGGACTCGACGCTCTGCCTGGCGCACGCTCGTCACCATCAAGGAAAACCAACAAGACCTCGTCAGCAACCACCGGCTCACTGACGAATACCGCACTCAGGTGGAACAAGAGCTGCGCGACTCCTGCAATGAAACAATCGTAAGCCTATTTATGTCTTTTGATTTTTTTTATAGTCTCTCCTTGAAAACTACCTCATCCCGAAGGCACAGTCCGCCGATTCGAAGGTGTTCTACATCAAGATGCGAGGCGACTATTTCCGCTACTTGGGAGAGATCCTTCTTGGAGACGATCGCAAAGGTATTGTTAATTTATGCCTTTCCTACCAGCTTCTTTAGCGCTAGTCGAAAAGGCCGAACAAGCTTACAACGAGGCCTTCGTCATTGCCAAGGAGAACATGGTTCCGACGCACCCAATTCGTCTCGGCTTGGCCCTCAACTTCTCGGTCTTCTACTATGAGCTGGCTGGCAACCAGCAGAAGGCTTGCAAAATGGCTAGGGAGGTGAGGGATCGGTTTTCAAGGTTATACGATTATTTTTTTTTTCTTCCAGGCGTTTGATGAAGCTGTCAAGGGGCTGGACTCGTTGAACGAAGATTCGTACAAGGATTCTACCCTCATCATGCAGTTGCTGCGAGACAACCTGACGCTCTGGGGCACCGAGGCGCTCGATGAAAGCCAGCCGGACGACTGATTGGACGTCAACAAAGTCCCCAATTCATCTGTGTACTTGGCACCACATGCGTATCTTCTTTGAGCTTTTGCATTTTGAGAAACATTCGATAAAGCTTTTAATTCAGCAATGTTTGGTCACATCTTACAGCGTTAGCAAGCGCAGACCGTTGGAACAACTGTTGGGGGTAACTTTTATTCAGGCGCACGAGTCTGGTCAAGTGAGTCTAGTAGTTTGTCACTTCTTCTTGTCAGCTCCGAAGCAGTCGCCGCCCACGCCAGCCAGCGTCTGATAGTTGGGGTCGGCCGTCGCTGAAAGCCATGGAGATTGTCAACTCTGTTTTTGACACCGTCTTATCTGACGACAAACAGATGTTCAAAAGTCCCACCAGCTTTGGCGCCCTTATTGGCAGGAGCGACTGGCTTTCCACCGCCGCCTCCACCAGCCTTTTTATCGGCTCCGAAGCAATCGCCGCCGACGCCAGCCAGCGTCTGGTAGTTAGGGTCGGCCGTAGCTGCAAACGACAAATTTTCGAAGTCGCGCTACGTGCTCCGAGTACGGGCTTCCCGAATCACTCACCAGCTTTGGCGCCCTGGTTAGCCGGTGCCTTCGGGCCTCCACCACCGCCGCCGCCTCCACCGCCAGCTCCCTTCTTGTCAGCGCCGAAACAGTCGCCGCCGACACCAGCGAGCGTTTGGTAGTTCGGATCGTGGGTGGCTAAAGTGTAGGGTTGAAGATGGAATGGTTACAAACCAGCCACTCCGGCGGCTCCTGGCTTCGGGCCTGCACCGCCACCACCGCCTCCTCCGGCGGCCTTTTTGTCAGCACCGAAGCAATCGCCACCAACACCAGCGAGGGTTTGGTAGTTCGGATCGTGCGTACCTAAAATATTTTTGATTGAGGGTAGAATGGTTGCCAACCAGCCACGCCGCCAGCTCCGGGGGCTTTCGGGCCACCTCCTCCGCCGCCGCCGCCCCCAGCGCCCTTCTTGTCTGCACCAAAGCAGTCGCCCCCGACACCGGCCAATGTCTGGTAGTTCGGGTCGTGCGTACCTGATGCGCGTGGTGAAAGCTCGGCAAATCAGCGCAAACCAGCGATTCCGCCAGCGCCAGGCGCCTTCGGGCCGCCGCCACCACCGCCTCCGCCGCCTCCCTTCTTGTCGGCGCCAAAGCAGTCGCCGCCAACTCCAGCCAATGTTTGGTAATTGGGGTCGTGAGTGCCTGAAACAGTAGATCGACTGCCTCTACCATCAGTTTACCAGCGACTCCTCCAGCGGCCGGGGCCTTGGGTCCGGCACCACCTCCTCCGCCGCCTCCTCCCCCGCCGCCGCCCTTCTTGTCGGCACCGAAGCAATCCCCGCCGACTCCGGCCAGGGTTTGGTAGTTCGGATCGTGAGTACCTTAAGGACTATTAAGGCTAGACGAGGAGATTAACCGGCGATTCCTCCTGCAGCCGGGGCTTTGGGTCCTGCGCCACCGCCGCCGCCTCCTCCTCCTCCGCCGCCACCTCCGTCCTTCTTCTTGTCGGCTCCAAAGCACTCGCCACCAACACCAGCCAAGGTTTGATAGTTGGGGTCGTGGGTACCTGCAGACAATCAGGCCTTCGCGTTGGACTGACGGTGGATGGGTAAATTTTCCCCAAATAATCGCGCAGCGAAAATAACGGGAATTCTGGCCCCTTTTTCCCCTTGGAAAGTTAATTTCCCCGCTAAGAGCCCAGGCTTTTTCCGGCGAACGTGCCACCCACCAGCAATTCCTTCTTGCGTCGGCTTCTTCAGTGGATCTCCTTTGCCAGCTGGGGCCGCGGCGGCGGGGGCTGCTGGCTTCGCTCCTCCAGCCGCGGGTGCAGCTGCGGCTGGGGCCGCCGGAGCAGCTCCCATCTTTGAGGCACCGCCCTTCTTGCCAGCACCACCAGCCTTCTTCTTCTTCGGGTCTTTCTTTGGCTTGACGGCGCTCTCCGCCGTGCCGGGACTGCTCTCTTCCTCTTCCTCCTCGTCATCGTCATCCTCTTCTTCCTCCTTTTTTTTCTGGAAACAAAATTGCTTTCTACCCAAGAACTTTTTTTTCACCTTGCAGCACTGGCCGATAAGGAATGGCGCGCCGAGAACGAAGGCAAACTGCCCGAGCAGTATGGACAGCAAGATTTCTGAATTATGGAAATTTCAGGAATGACTCATGAAATCCATACCTGTCAACTCCATATGCCAGATGTCCAACCAAATAGAAGCTCGAGAATTACAAATGTTGGCCGGGCTTCAGAATTTCTGTTTTAGATCGGGAATTTATGCAATTAGACGTGAGCTTCCATTTTATTCGAAAGCTTGTAAATTCCGTATTTTAATTGTATTTCAGTAGTTTTCGGCCAGCAAGTGTACCGAGATTAGGGGATTTTAGGCTTTTTTTTTTCAAACGTCTACACTCGTTTTTCGGGGTCTTTCTCCCCGGGATGCTCTTTGGCGTGATTTCATGGTTTTTTCCCCGATTCTTTGATGCGAATGCTCAGCAACTCCTTCCCGCCAAAGCGACCTCGAGACCCCCGTTCTCCTCCCGTCCCATGCGCCCCTAGGATAGTACCCAGCTCTCTTTCTCTAAACCTCCAAAGGGGGGAAGGGCCGCGGGAAGGCAAAATTTTGAGTTTGCAGGGCGTGTTGCTGAATGCGGGTGGTCCTTTTTGAAAATCGATTTTACAATTTCAATATCTTTCCGACCAGTTTGTATTCGCTAACCTGTTTTCACATTCATAATAACGACTCCTCCCGGCTTTTTCATACGCCAGTTTTAGATGCCGCCAAAGCGCAGGGGATTCGTCGACAGCGACGACGAAGATGAGCCGCAACCATCGAAGCGTGCCAACCGCACCACGCCGATCAAGGCCGCCCAGAAAAGGCCCGATACGGCCACGCCAAGGAAGAAGGTTCGTTAACTTTGCGATTTACGAACATTTTTGTGCTTTAGGATGTCGGCTCCGTGTTCACGGCCGACCATTTGATGGATGGGCCCGAATGAGGAAATGAATTCGATGACGACGATGAGGGGCGCATTGTTAGTTTAAAATTCACTCCTTCAACTTCTTCTTAGGATTACGCGGCTCTGGACGACGAGGAGCTGATGAAAATCCAGATCCCGCCAGCTTTCGACCCTGACTGCAATGCTGATGCGAAGAAGGGCCGTCTCGTCATTCAGCGAATCGATGTCGAGAATTTCAAGTCGTACCGTGACAAGACGACCATCGGACCTTTTCCATACGGTGAGCATTTGGTTTTTGGAAAAATTTGGATTCCTTGATTTTCAGAATTACACCTCCATCATCAGCCCAAACGGCTCCGGCAAGAGTAACGTCATCGACGCACTCCTCTTTGTTTTCGGATTCAAAGCCAGCAGGGTATGTCGCGTTTTTCTGGGCCAATAATTTCGGCTAATTTAGATCCGCACAAAAACGTCGGCGTGCTCATCCACAACTCGGCCGGTCACGACAATTTGACGTTTTGCAGCGTCGAAATTTCCTTCACCAAGGTTATTGATAAGGTAAGGTATTTTCAAAGTTATCTGACTGAAGTTTTTAGGAAAATGTCGTTCGACGAGGCCCCGAATTCGCGCTTCTCCGTTTGCCGCACAGCATAAAAGCAACAAGAGCGAGTACGAGATCACGGAGAACGGGCGCACGATGAGTGAGAATTTAGACCGTGAGCTTTTGAAAATTCCAACCTGGCCTATTAGTGGTTATTGATATTTCCGTTTTAGAACGTCATGAAGCTGTCGGTGGTAGCCGAAGAAGTTGAAGTCGGTCGGCATTGACCTGAAGCACAACCGGTTTTCTGATCCTTCAAGGTGAAGTCGGACAGATTGCGATGATGCCCCGAAAGGTGACGACAAGAAGAAGACTGAGGGCATGCTCGAGTATCTTGAGGATATCATCGGGTAGGCGACAATTTTTTTCCTTGAAATAACACATTTTAGAACCTCGCGTTACAAGGGAGCCGCTACAGCTTCTCGAAACCAAGATCGCGGCTGTCGACGAACAGCTGACGAACCAATCACGGGATGTAAGCTTTTACTATAGTATTCATGTTTTTGCATTACGAAGCTGACATTTATTTTCTCATTCCAGGCGCAGCAACGCGACAAAGGAAAAAGACCTTTGGAGGGCCTGTCAATGAGATGATAAATCATGAAACTCGAGAACCGGATCTCCTATCACAGGAACCAGCTGGAGCAGATGACGCGCCTAGGAATTGAAGAACAAATCACGAAGCTGGAAGGAAACCGACCTTAGTCGAAGCTCAGAGAGCGGAGGATATCGTCAAGGAAGAGCTGAAGGCCCTCAACGAGCTGATACAGGAGGAAGAACAGTAAGACGGCCCAGCTTACAAAGTAATTGAACTTTCCCGTTGATAAAGACTAAAACTGGATTACTAATTTTTTTTGTAGGGAAAACAAGAAGCTGCAAACAAAGTGCGATCGCGTCACCGATGGGCTTCAGCAGCAACGTCAGCGTGCCGGCAAGCGTCTGAATGACATCAAGAACAAGAGGCCGAGGTCAAAAAGGCTCAAGCAGAACTCGCCACTCTCTAAAGAAATACGCCGAGCTGGAATCTGCACCGGAAGCTGCTCCCGATAAGGTCCAACGCCAGCGGGAGATCATCGAGGAGGCAGAGAAGGACGAGGCCGATTGTCAAAGGCGATTGGAGGAGAATCAGGACGACTACTTTGGGCTGCCAAGGATCGAAAAGAAAAGACGACATAGAAGAAGAACTCGGAGTCGCGAACAAAAAGTCACCGAACTGTGGATGGGAAGACCGGGCGATATCGTGTCGAGCTGCAGGGTCTCACTGATGGTGTCGAACGCAGCAAGCAGCAAGGTATCATATTTTTATTTTTTAGCATGCTTTCTAACAGGCATGCTTTTGGGTTTAGGAAGGAAGCCGCTTTTGTAAGCACTACTGTGCTTTCTTTTTCAGTACGAGCAGACGAAAGCCAAGAAAGAAGAGCAGAGGCGCTGGTCAAAGAAAGACGGAGTAT